CGGCCTCTCTGTTGTAGGTTTGGGGGAGTAGTGGCTTCTGCAGAGGCGGGCTCTGGTGAAGTCTAGTGACATTTGGGGAACCTTGGGGGACCCAGGCGGGGTGGGGGTGGCATCCCGGGACCCCGCAGTGCCCCTCAGGCTTCTCATGGGAGAAGCACCCCTCCCCGCCATGGGCGTCCTGTCACCACATCCTGGGGCTCTGCTTCCACCTGTGCCCCAACCAGCCTCACAGCTTGTCCTCTCCTGCCGGCTGGCGCTGCCTGTGCCCTTCTAAAGGACACCCCTTCTTGGTCCTGTGCTGGTCGGCTGTGTCCTGGCATCTGTAAGACCGACTTCTGTAAGATGTGTGTTAAACAGCCAGTAGACTTTTAGGGGCGAAAGCACGTTTTGTATCAAATGCTCTCCCCATGATGCCAGTCTCTTGAGAAAAACAGCTCTTACCCTGCCCCCCAGATGCAGCTATTGAGTGGGTATCTGTTAGCACTAAAGGCTAGGCATTTTGGATAAGAACTACTTTAGGGCCTCAAGAGATTTTTAATTTTCTTCTTAAAGTTTTATTTATGGGCCTGGCGCGGTAGCCTATTGTCAAAAGTCCTGGCCTTACACACGCCAGGATCTCTTATGGACACCGGTTGTAGTCCTGGCTGCTCCACTTCTCGTCCAGCTCCCTGCTTGTGGCCTGCGAAAGTAGTTGAGGATGACCCAAAGCCTTGGGACCCGGCACCCATGTGGGAGACCCGGAAGAAGTTCTTGGCTCCTGACTTCAGATGAGTTCAGTTGTGGCCACTTGAGGAATGAACTAGCAGATGGAAGATCTTTCTTTCCGTCCCTGCTTGTCTCTGTAGATCTGCCTTTAAAACAAAAATAAATGCGTCTTTTAAAAAGGATCTACAGAGAGGAAGAGAGACAGGAAGACCCTTTGTCTGATGATTCACTCCTCAAGCGACCATAACAGCCAGAGCTGAGCCGATCCTAAACCAGGAGCCAGGAGCTCTTGCATGTCTCCTACCTGGGTGCAGGGTCCCAAGGACTTGGGCTATCCTCGACTGCCCTCTGCGGCCACAAGCAGGGAGCTGGATGGGAGGCAGGGCCGCTGGGATTAGAACCAGCGACCGCATGGTATCTCGGTATGTGCAAGGTGAGGACTTTAATCACTATGACCGGGCCCAAGAAAAAAACGTCTTTTTAAAAGCCGCTTTATTTTTATTTGAAAGACAAGAGTTTCCTAGAGGAGAGAGAGAAAAGTCCACTGGTGCACTCCCCAAATAGCAACGGCCTGAGCTGAGCCCGTGTATTATTTCCCTATTTCAGTATATTCTGAGAGTTGGTGGAATGGAAATTATTTGCATCTTTAAGTTGCTGCACGTGGATAATGTAGTACAGTTCTCATGTCTCATGGTCGTTTTCAACTCTGAAAAAGGATTCCAACCCAAAGGAGAATAACGCAGCCGTAGATCTGCATCACGGGCATTCTCCCATTTCTTTGCAAGAGCCCCTCCCCTGAATTAAGGAGCATTTCCCTCTTACAGAGCCTAGAATGCTGAGCTCTGGAAAGATCAAATTGTTTCATCATCTAATAGATGGCAGACAGAAGCATACAGCTGTAAAGATCTTACACGCCATACCATCTCTCACTTGCTCCCCAGTGAGTTCAATTCCAGTAGTTATGCATATGCAGGTCTTTTAAGAGTTTATTTTATTGGAAAATCAGATTTCTAGAGAGAAGAGACAAAGCTCTTCCATCCATTGCTTACTCCCCAAATGACTGCAATGGCTAGAACTGAGCCAGTCTAGAGCCAGGAGCCTTCTGAGGTCTCCCACATGGGTACAGGGGCCCCAGGCCATGGACCATCCTCTATTGCATTCCCAAGCCATTAGCCTGAAGCTAGATGGCAAGTGAATCAGCTGGGACATGAACAAGCACCCACTTGGATGCTACAGTTGGAGGTGAAGGATTAGCTAGTTGAGCCATTGTGCCAGAGCCACATCTGCCGATTTCCAGAAATGACTACTTCTGGAAAGGCTGAGTGAGACAGAGCTCAAAGCTGCTGTTTTGTGGCTTTACCAAGCAGAATGACAGAAGGAGGGAGACACAGATTACCATCTGCTGCTTCCTTTCCCATCTGGCTGCAGCAGCTGTGCCAGGCAAGCTGGCTGAAGCCATGAGCTCTTCTGGGTTTTCCATGTAACTAGTTGTTATATAAAAGCTACATTAACTTGTGGAGATTGTGTTAGTTTTGTTTGCACCCACTGTATTAGATTTCCTTACTGTTTTGAGTCATTTCTCATTTGCTTTCCTATTTTCAGGTTAAAGATAAGTATAAATACTATTAACCATAAATAATGATCAACAATGTATACATAATCATCATTTTCTTTTCTTTTAAAAAACATTTATCTATTTATTGGAAAGTCAGATATACAGACAGAAGGAAAGACAGAGGGGAAGATCTGCCATCCGATGATTCACTCCCCAAGTGAGCGCAACAGCCGATGCTATGCTGATCCGAAGCCAGGAGCCAGAACTTCTTCTAGGTCTCCCACATGATGCAGGGTCCCAAAGCCTTGTGCTGTACTCAACTGCTTTCCCAGTTGACAAGCAGGGAGCTGGATGGGAAGTGGAATTGCCAGGGTTAGAACCAGTGCACATATGGGATCCTGGGGCGTTCAAGGTGAGGACTTTAGCCACTAGGCCACGCCGCCAGGCCCATAATCATGATTTTCATGCCTCTTAGTATGTTCTCTTTTCTATTTCACTGGCTGATACAAGTTAAAAAAAAGTAGTGACTGAATAGCAGGATCCTCATTGCAGTCTTGTCTTTCATGGAATGCCAGCAGTGGCTCTAGCTTTCAGCTGGGATTCAGGTGGCTTATGTTCAGAAATATTTAATCATCCTCATCAAAAACAGAAGGTAAATAAAATATAAGATTTTGGTGGGGGAGGGGGAGAAAACCATGGGTGGTAGACATCTAACTTGATTTCATTCTTAAATAGGCAGTTTTCTGAGCACCACTTATTGAACAGTCTGTTCTTATTTTTTAAAAGATCTATTTTTGAAGTCAAAGAGAGGAAGAGAAAAGAGAGGATTCCTTCATTCATTGGTTTGCTCCCTGGATGGCTGCAGTGGCCAGCTCTGGGCCAACCCAGGGCCAACCCAGAGCCAGGAGCTTCATCCAGGTCCCCCATCTACATGGCAGGGACCCAAACACTAGGGCCATCTTCCACCCCTTTTTCCAGGCCATTAGCAGAAAGCTGGATTGGAAATAGAGCAACCAGGACACTAACCAGTGCCGACTTGAGATGCCAGTGTTGCAGGTGGCAACTTTATCTGCTTTACCACACATTGTCCCATTGTCCTCATTTTTAAAAAAGCTTTATTTATGCAGGCTGGCACTGTGTCTGCACAGGCTAATCCTCCACTCTATGGTGGAGCATCGCATATGGGCCCCAGTTGATGTCCCGGTTGCTCCACTTCCAATCTGGCTCTCTGCTTGTGAGGGAAAAGCAGTGGAGGATGGCCCAAGTTTTTGGGACCCTGCACCTGTGAGAGAGACCAGAGGAAGCTACTGGTTCCTGGCTTCAGATCAGCTCAGCTCTGGTCTTTGCAGCCACGTGGGTGGTGAACCAGAAGATGGAAGACCTTCTTCCTCTTGCCTCTTTTTCTCTATAAATCTGCCTTTTCAATAAAAATAAATAAATCTTAAGAAAGGAAGGGAGGAGTCATGGCGTGCTGGCCTAGCATCTAAAATCCTCGCCTTGAATGTGTAAGGATCCCATATGGCACTGGTTCTAATCCTGGCAACCCTGCTTCCCATCCAGCTTAATGCTTGTGGCCAGGGAAAGCAGGCAGGGACAACCCAAAGCCTTGGGATCCTGCACCCTCACGGGAGACCTGGAAGAAGCTCCTCACCCCTGCCTTCGTTTCGGCATAGTTTCGTGAGTTGTGTTGACTTAGGGACTGAATCATGTAATGGAAGGTCTTCTCTGTCTCTCCTCCTCTCTGTATCTCTTACCTTGCAATAAAAATAAATAAATGTTTCTACAAGAATAGAAAGGAAGAAAGAAGAAAAGACAAAAGGAAGACCCTAACATCCTTCTGTCTGGGCTCAGTACAAAGGGTTCCCCTTTCATGAAAGAGTACAGAGAGAGAAAAAATCCCCTTCTCATCACTGGTTCACTCACCACGTGGTCATCATGGCCAGAGCTGAGCTACTCTGAAGCTGGAGCCAGGAGCACCCTCCAGTTCTCTCATGTGGGTGCAGGGCCCTTGGGCCATCCTCACTGTTTTCTCAGGCCATTAGCAGGAAGTTCAATCAGAAGTGGAGCATCTGGGGGCTCAGTGTGATGGTTCAACTGGCTAAATCCTCACCTTGCAAGTGCCAGGATCCCATATGGGTGTCAGTTCATGTGTTGGCTGCTGTGCCTCCTATAAGCAGAGAGCTGGATTGGAAGTGGAGCAACCAGGACATGAACTGGTGCCTGTATGGGATGACAGTACTCTAGGTGGAGGCTTAGTCTACTACACAGTGGCACTGGCCCCATCCACTTTGTTTTAAGAAGTGTTCTTATTTTTTAAGATTTTTTATTATTGGAAAGGCAGATTCACAGAGAGAAGAACAGACAGAGAGAAAAATCTTTCATCTACTGGTTTATTCAACAAGTGCCGCAATATCCAGAGCTGAGCCAGTGCAAAGCCAGAAGGCAGGAGCTTCTTCCAGGTCTCCCACGTGGTGCAGGGTCACAATGCTTGGGGCTGTCCTGTCCTGACTTCCCAGGCCACAGGCAGAGAGGAATGGAGGAGCTGCCACTTATTCCTGGTTCCCAGGACTGGCCTGTGCTAGGGGATGCAGGCCCAGAGACTCTTTCTAAGGCAGCTGTGTTGGCATCAGCCTTCCTTTCACTTACAACTCACTGCTTCCAAGGGGGAGCAGGAGGGCTGTGTCTTTAATAAGAAACTGCAAAGGGAAGGAGGGACAGAGGCCTCGGCCAGAATCACTCAGCCAAGGGGCTCAGCCCAGAGCAACAGATGGCTTGTGCTCACTGGAGGCACTCAACTGTCTCTCTACTTTCTTCTGGTCCTTGATCGTGAGTCCAATGTCTACCCTTTTCTCAAAGAAGTTGACCAGCACAGACTCCGGCAGGATGGAGGCCAGGATCTGCTTGAAGGAGATGCACCAGTCTGCGTCCATGGTGTTCCCAATGCGGGCAGTGGCTGTGGGGTTCTCACACTGCAGGGAGCCCATGCTGACCACTGAGTAGGAGGACATGGATATGTTGTATTTGGTTTCATCATCAGACAGGAGCTGGGAGGGTGAGCCCTTCCCCTCTCCACTGCCCCCCTCTACCACCGTCTGTCTCTCCTGTGGCACTTTTCCAAGGTGGGTGTCTCCACCAGCTTTGGTCCAGGGGTCCCCTGTGGCTGTTGGCTGGCATTCCTGTACTGGGTCCTGACGGGATTCCCTTGCAGGTGACTGAGGGTCCCCCGTGGCTGGCACTCCTGTACTGGGTTCTGAGGTGGGTTCCCTTGCTGGTGACTGGGGATGCCCCATGGCTGGCGGCTGGAGCTCCTGTACTGGGCCTGAGGGGGTTCCCTTGCTGGCAGTGGGGACTCATCCTCGGTGGAACTGCCCTGGTCCCTGCTGGGAGTGCCACTTGGGCACTTGCCACTTGACACTGGGACTGAAGAAATTCCCCACCTCACTGATGCGGAGGCTGGCCGGCCACTGTGGCAATGGCGTGGTACAAGTCCTGCTCCAGGGGGTCCTCACTGAATTTGTTGTATAGCGTCTTGCACAGCTCAATGAATTGCTCCTATCAAGGGGGAAGGCAGAACAAGGAGATGGTAAGATGGCCCGGGCGTTCACTCCATGCATGCTGCTGGCCACTGGAACTGGTGCCAGGATGTGGTCCTGTTTATCAGTGCCAGACCAGTGCCTTAGGCTTACTTCACACACGGGAATGTGGAGGCTCAGAGTCGGGAGGGACCTAAGCAGTCACTCTGCCCTGCCGGGTTCTCCCCCTGCAGTGGACAGCAGCTCTGAGCTGGGCTCTCTGCTCCGACTTGTGGTTCTGCTGTTGGAGATGCATGGCTGTGTGAACCCGGCCTCGACCAAGGCTTCCTCCCTGGGGTCTGGCCTCACCCTTGGCCTTCTAGGCCTGGGTGAAAGCACCTTCAACTCTGACCTTCAGGGAAGCTCCCAGAGGGTGCTGCTGAGGGGGTGAGGGTGCTCTTGGGTCTCTAAACCACATCCTGGCCTGAGAGAGGGGTGAGACCACCCATTCCTCAGGCTGGAGAAGGCTTAGGCTCACAGGGCCCCTCTGGGCATAGCCAGGGCCGGGCCAGCCCAAGCACTAAGGGCAGGCTGTAGTTCAGGGACTGCCTCTGGCTACTTTCTGCAGCTGAACCCAGGGGTTGCCCCTTCCTGCCTGGGAGACCCTTGGGAAGACAAAGAAGCTCCTGTCCCCAGAGAGCAGGAAGTGGAGAGCAGACAAGCCTGTGTGCACAGGGTGCCTGGGCAGGGAGTGTGAGGAAGCAGCTGTGGGGTAACCTTCCCCAGGGCTGCTCAGACCTACCACTGTCCCTCCACCTGAACAAGTGGTCCCTGTGCAAATGGCCCCTGAGCAACAAGCTCCTGACTTTCCAGAATCCTCACTGGGACTCCTGGGCGCTCAAGTGAGCTAGTGAGTAACGAGTGCCACCCTGTGTGGACCCTGGGGCGTGGTGCTGACATGGCATGCTGGGCCCCGGTGTCCCTCAGGGTTCTGCAGAGGTGTCTGCTGCAGCCTCCTGCCTGGCCCACCTGGTTCATTTTGGGCAGATCCTTGATGGTCTCCTTCTGAGCCTCTCTCTCCTTGGCCCACATGCGAAGGTAGTGTCGGTAGTCTGGGGGGCTGGTCCCCTTCTCCTCTGTGAGTCAGAAGGAAAAGACATTAATCTCGGCCTGCCATGACAGAAAGAGGGCTTGAGCTTGGGGTCAGGGGGTGGGATGGGCCCTGTTACAAAGCACCTGCATCTGGGGAGGTGCTGATGGGGAGAATGCCCGGAAGAAGGGATGGCTCAATGGGATGAGGATGGTCCTGAGGCTGTGTTCTAGGCTGTGAGAGGTTGGCCTGAGGAGCTGAGAGCTTCACAGGGGACACCAGGCATCACAGGGCCTCCAGCCAAGGTCACTGACCTTCAGGGCATGTCTGTCAACTGGGTGCCAGGCAGTGGGGGAGCTTTGCAGAAGTGACTGGGGATGGTCACAGCCCACATGAAACCCCAGACCTCAGCCCTGAGACCCTGACTGGCCGTCAGGGGAGAATGGCCTGTACCTGCTCGCTTTTCTTGGGTATCCTCGCTTCTGCTTCCTTCCCGATCTTCCTGTGGTAGTGCCTCTGCCAACCAGGAAATAACAACATGGAGCACATTCTTCTCCAGCTGGGACTGCAGCCCACCTCTGCTGAGGTCCAGCCTGTGCTTGTGCGGGAGCAGCCCCGGGTTCTGGTTCCCTGCACGGAGCCTCCTGCTTTGGCCTGACCCTGGGCTCTGCCCTCTGCCACCACCGTCAACGAGGGCCTGGGCATTTCCCCACTTGATCACTGAAAGCAGCAGCAGCTGTATCCCACTCCGTGTTTGCACTTTTTTTTCTTTTTCCAGCGGACTACAAGTCTCCCGTATATGAAACAGGAATGCGGTGTGATGGACAAGCCTGAGAACTGATGAATCCTGTGGTTTCGTTAGGAAAAGGTCACCTGCGTGGGATCACACCTATGACAGCTACACCAGGAGGGAAGGAACTTGACAGACATGAACCCTGTGCTCAGCACATCCGCTGGAGGAGGACCACACTGTGCGGTTCACGTGTGAACATGAACCTGGGGAGGAACAAGCTGCCCTGGTCTCCCAGGCCTGCTGCCAGAAGACAGGCGAGGACAGAAGTAGCCCAGCCCTCAACTGCCTCAGTGAGCGTGGGTGACAGTGCAGGGCCTGGGGTGCTGTGGGGTCTGAGGTCAGGGCTCTGCACCCAGAAGCACACAGCACAAACTTAAAGCTTCCCAGGTTGCCCAGGGTCCATGTGTAACAGGAAGCACACCTGCTGCTTTGGCCTGTTACTGGAAGCCAAGGCCCTCCGGGTTCATGAGCTAAGCCTTCACGGTCAGCAGGACCTGTGGGTCCTTCAACACACACACTATTTGTTTCCCCTTTGGGCCTGCCACATGACGTCACAGCACAGCATGGTCGCCAGCCGTGTCATCAAGTCCTTTCTGATTCTTAGGTGAGTTTGTAAACACCCAGTGTCTTTCAGGTTAAAGTGCAATCAGTGCCTCATACAATCCAGGGGTGTGGGGGCACGTGCTCACCTGGGGGAAGGTGCAGCTTGTAGAGCACCTTGAGCTTTTCAGTCATGTCCCCGTGGTACATCCCGCCTGTGGGAGAAGGCCAGGAGGAGGGCATGATGAGGGGCTCCCCAGGACGGTGCAGGCTCCAGGGGGCTGGGACAGGACCTCCTCACACCTGCAGAGGGCCCAGGAGCCAGTCCCAGGCTTCCTCAGAGTATCGCCAGGCCAGCTCAGCCTTCCCTGCAGCCAGCTGCCCCAGCCCCACAAGGGAGGGAAGGATAGACTGGCCAGGGATGCCACGGGAAATGGCCAAGGCAGCGTCAGGCCCCTGGAGGCACTCACTTTTGTTGTAGAACATAGTTTTAGGATGTGTGTATCTTTAAAATAGAAAGGCAGATTTACCAGAGAGAAGAAAAGGGAGAAGAAGATTTTCCATCCATTGGTTCCCTGGCTGGAGGTAAGCTGATCTGAAGGCAGGAGCCAGGAGCCTCTTCCATGTCTCCCATGTGGCTGCAGGGTCCCAAGGCCTTGGGCCATCCTTGACTGCTTTTCCCAAGCCAGAAGCAGGGAGCTGGAAGGGAAATGGAACAGTCAGGATATAAACCAGCACCCACATAGGATCCCAGTGCAGACAATGTGAGGACTTTAGCCACTAGACTATAAATCTTAATTTTTTTTTCTTTTTTGCCTAACAGTCAACACCAACCTAACTTGAATCCAATCTAATCATTTGGAGTCAGTCTGATGATTTGGAAGAAAGGTTCCCTTGTCCTGGGGCTACTGAGGGGATAGCGTGTCCCTGGAGCTGCAGACAGCCACGGACTCTGCAGGAAGCGCAGTTCAGAGAACATCAGAGGGTGAGAGAGTGTACAACACTGCATCTGAGTTCCTGGATCCAGCCAGGCCTGACACTGTCTCCCTCAACTCTGCAGTTCCTTGAGCCCATGAACTTCTGCTGTAAGCTGCCTTGTGCTTTCTAAGGGAGTGTTCTGCCTAAACTCCAACAAGGCTTAACTTCTACCACTGCGACTTCACAGCAAGTGCATGCACGGATGCTTCCAAACCCCTTCTCTTCCGGCAGGAACCTCTGTGCTGAGGATGCTCTTGGAAGACAAGGTCACAGTTACAGGTCCTGTCCCTGTTCTCGGCTCTCACCTTAAACACCATGTAAAGGTCTTCCAGCTCTTCAATGGAGAAGCCAGTGTCCCCAGGTATGGCTCGGACCTAGAAGAAAGAGACAGGCTGGGCTGAGGGACTCTCAAGTGCCTGTTGCAGCAGGAGACAGATTGTCACAGGGACCAGGGCAAAGGCACGAGCTGCCCCTCAGTGTGGCAAGTCGGCCATCCCACTGAGGGCAGGGCCTTGCCCTGCTGGCCTCTCACCACCCAGCCTGCCACTCAGTGCAAGCTCCCTGAGGTCTGTGCCCTAGTGGGCTGAGAGTGGGGGACATGGGACATTGTTTAGTTCCTCCTGTCTGGACCTCTGCTGTGACCCAGGTGCCAGCTCTTGGGAAGGGGTCCTGAAACCACCAGCCAGCTGCTCTCAGTCAGCTGGAGCCATCCGTTTCTGTCACTTGTGACCTCAGAGTGTCTGAAAGGTTTGGGGGGGGGGCACTGGGGAAGTGGGAATGAGGTTGGCAGTCAAGAGACCATGAGTAGATCCTGTGGCAGGGGCACCTGCACCCATCCAGGGATGCGGAGGATGAAGGCTGGAGGCAGAGGCACGGCACGCAGGTGCTCAGAGGGCAGCTGTGGGATGCTCGGCGCGAGGGGAGGGGACATGTGGGAGACAGAGGGTGCTATGCTTTGGGGGAACAGGGCCTCAGACAGGCTTCCCACTGGCCCATCTGGGAGCAGAATAAAACGACCATGTCCTCTCCCCACCATGCCCCTGCCTGGTCCCACACATCCTAATGCTGACACTGGTGGTGAGGCAGCAGGGGAGTGTGCGTCCTGCCCCACAGACAGGCCTGAGTGGGAGCCCCCCACGCCCACATACCACACTCCTCTTGGCTGTGTCCTCCAACGACTGGATCACTTTCAGCCTCTGTTTAAACCGCATCTGTTCAGTGTCGCTGGCCCGCAGGCTGCTGAATTTCTGCAGGCAGGTGGGGATGATTAGGTGAGACAATGCACAGCCACAGGGTGCAGGGCTGTCACCCCCCACACCTCCCCACGGAGTGCTGACCTCATAGGAGGCTTTGAGGAGGTCAAAGATGTCTGTCTGTGTGGGAGGCTCGTCTCCACTGGTCAGCAAGGCATGGAGGTGTGGCACTGGTGGGGAAGTCTCTGCTCATTGACCACATTGTCCAGACATCTGTGGGGGGAAGGGGTCAGACATTGAGACCACTCATAGTTATGGCAGACCCTCCAGGAGGATAGAGTGTGCCCCAGCAGGTACCCTGGCAAGTCAGGGAGCTCCCCTCAGGCCTCAGGCCCTCCCTCGCATTAGGCTCTGCACATGGAAGGTGCCGGGCTATCTTTTGGGGCTCCATGGGCAAGGAGCTTGTTTAAGGCTACATGTTGGGACCTAGTCTGGCCAGGACCCCCTGACCCCTGCTGTGACTCCTGAGCAAGGTCACACTGTCTTGGGTAGGAAATGCATGGCAGGCAAGCTGTCCGGAGCTCAGGGTGGACACACAGCTACCCAGCCCAGCTCTCTGGAGGCACCGTGGCTGTCCCTGCTGTGTGGGAGCATCCCAGGACAGGGGCATGCATGTGGGGAAGCTGTCAGGACTGGGCAGAACTCAGGACAGGTCAGAAAGAGCCAGGAGGGGGCTGAGCATGGCTGACAGGCTTGACGGCCAGGAAGGCAGATGTCCACTGCTCCTCTGAATGAAAGATAAACAAGTGGCATGGGTGTACAGGCTCAGCCCTGGTCAGGGTCCTGCAGGATGCTCTCAGGAGACTGGAGCAGAGGAAACCATGTCCATAAAGTTTATTGGAACATGACTGTGCTCATTTGCTTCCTTGTTCCTGGCACTTAAGGAGCAGTGAGCCTGTAGGGTCTGCCAGGTCAGCCTGGGATGCTCTCTGCATCTTCAGGGGCAGCTTTCTGAGGATCCCTGCAGGTTAGGGGTGTCTGGAGCTGTTGGCACTGGGTACTTGCTGGGTAAACGCCAAGGTGCTGCTGGGTCTTGGGTCAGCCCCACCCATGGGCCTGTTTACATTCTCTCATGTCTCCTGTTACGGTTTTGGGCAGAGGCTGAGCCCCGGCTGATCGAGACTTTGTCTCAGATGCTGTCTGTGGGCTTCTCTGACAAAGGTGGTTGGTTCCTCAGGCTCCCGCAGACCAAGAACTACGACATCGGGGCTACCCTGGACACCATCCAGTATTCGAAGCACCCGCCACCACTGTGACAATGTCTGCTGCCCGGCTCGCTTCAAATCTCCTTCTCTGTCACATAATCACATTGAGCTAGTCAGAATAGCAGGGGCTCCGTAAGGGCTAGATTTTCTGCATTCTTCTCCAGAATCTGGGGGGCGGGCACGCATGAGGCCTCTTAGGGCAGCAGCACAGTGTCACCGGTGAGTTCCATGTGTATATGCTTGATGCCAAACAGCCATCTACTCTGAGAGCTGTTGTGGCCCAGGAAGGACTTGCTGTTGCCCAGCAGGGTGCAGGTGATACACAGCGCACTGGGCTCCCCTGCCAGCCTCATGCCAGCAGTCCAGAATACACTCTGCCTAATGGCCTCTGCTTTCTCATTTCTAAACAGCTAGTTGATTTACTGCTAGAAACCTGCTAGATTGAGGGAGGGCTGTCCTACAGCAAGCCAGAAGGTCTCACACTTGGAGGGAGAGTGGCTCCCAAGGGCAAGTGCGAGGTGCAAGTGTCCTCTGGCGGCTGCCTCCAGCTCATCACTACGATGCCTCTCATGTGTAGCGCCCCTGCTGTTATATTTGTAAGCAATCTGTGATTAAATGCAATGAGCACTTTAGTCATCACTGTGCTCTGGTGTGTTTGTCAGTTTCCAGGGTTTTCATACATTAACACCAGGGGGAGCTGCAGAGGCACTCCTGCACCACACACATCTGCATCAGTGACAAGCTGGCCTCTGCTCACAGGTCATCACTGAAGTCCTCTCCTGTTGCAAAGAGGTCAGAGAGCCGCAGGGCTGCAGGCTTCTATGTCCCTGGCACCTGGGGAGGCCCCGTGCCCCTCTGCTGCTCAGGGATCCTCCTGCAGGTTCCCTCAGAACCAGGCCTGGGAGGCTGTGTGATCTGAGGAAGCTGGACAGTGGCTGCTTCCCAGCTCTCCCTCGGGGTGGGGGCCCATGGGGTCCCTTGCTCAGCCTGTGCTGGACCTGCTGGTTTGGGTCCCCTCTGCTCTGTGTCCACCTGGGAGCTGTTCACGGGAGATGGGAGAAATCTTACCCATTTAGAAGATGTGGCCTCAGCCTTACAGGCTGGACTCGGCAGTTCCCCATGAGCAACACGGAGCCCCTGGGGTCATGGGTCCTCATGGTTCCAGAGGCAGTGATTGCCATCTTCCTTCACCTTCATGTTCAGGCCAGGAGAGTCCTGAAACCAATCAGAGGAGACAGCTGTGTCCTGTTGCCTGCTGGGGCTCGTTTCCCAGATGAGACTTTTCCACAGTGCTGCTTGCCAGTCCACAGGCTGGGCAGTGAAGTCGACAAAGCACAGTGAGTAAATGCCATTTCATCCCAGTCCTCTGTTTCCATGACCAGGCTCCAGGTGGCCCAGCTCCTGAGGGTCAGCTCAGGGTGTCTGCACAGAGGTGGGAGTAGACAGGCCCTAGAGACCACTGGGGAATGGACTGAGGCCGACTCCCCTCACCTGCTCCCTCCCTGGCAAACAGCACCTCAGACCTGGACTTTGCAAGTGGCTGTGCCAGGCTCCCCGTGCTGCTGGGGACCGGCTTCTGCTTAGCAACCAAAGATGTCCTGACAGTTAGGCTTACCACTTCACAGGACCTCAGAGTGGGTCGCTGCAACTCTGCACCCCAGACAATGGGAAAGAGGGCAAGACAAAACAGACTTGACAAGAGCATCACACACAGGAACTGCAAGGCTCTGCTGTCACTGGGAGATTCAGAGCTACGAGTTGACTTAGGTCTCAAAGCTACTCCTGACAACACCAGAATCTGAACTTGACCTCCTGGCTTCCAGCTGGAGGCCTGCATGAGGTGAAGTTGGCCGTGGCAGACCTATGCTAAGGTGACCCCTGTTAGTAGGCCTCTGGCAGGGCTCTTTACACGCTGATGACAGCATAAAGCACGATCTGAGTTTTGTAGCACTAAATGTGCAGTGGGGCCTGTTGGGTTCCTGGGAGCAGGAACACACCCCAAGTGACTGAATGCCTTCAGCAAGGGAGCATGAGCCTGGAGAGGGCAAGGGTGGCAGGGTGTGCAGAGAGGCCAGGCCAACCTCAATGGACCCCAGGGTGTCACGATGCCCTTTTGGCTGAGAGTTAATTTCATGAGATGAGCAGGGAGCGAAGGGAGCAGGCAGAGGAAGGTGTTGGCTCCACACAGGCAAGAACAGGAAGCTGAGCTTTGGGGGGTAAAAAGCTCATACTTCAACAGTTCTGTGTGTGCTTGGTGATCACTGGGACCAAAGTGGAAGCAATATTCCCTATCACCAACCTTCTGGGGTGGCCAGGTGCCCCTGGGAGTGCCCAAGTCTGGGATGTCACGTTTGTGCAACAGCTGGGCCGACTCGGGCTCCATTTCCTGGTGGGAGGAAAGTGCTGTCAATAGTCCAGTCCTGCCAGCACAGTGCCCCGCAGCCTCCCTGGCAACCTGGCTGGCCACAGGAGGTAGGGAGCCTCCATGCAGCCACTCAGCTGCAGCCCAATGGCAGATGGGCTGTCCTGTGCTTGCCAGACAGCTCTGCCCCACGGCTGGTCCACCTACCTCCCATGGCACCTCAGGCACTGTCTGCAGAGCTGAGCTCCTGTGCAGTCTGCAGTATCTGCTTCACCAGTGTAAACCTCCTGCCCCGGTCAACACCCCTAAGCCCCTACCCCTTGAGGTCACCGTGTGAGCTGCTCACAGAGTTCAGCAAGCATCCCTGTGTCAGCAAGCAGTGCCTGTCTCATCAGTCCCCACCTGAGCCTCCTGCAGGGCACTGGGTACAGCCTGGCACCTTTTTCTGGGCAGCTCCTGACTGAAGGGAGGGTCTGACTCCTCCATGTCAGATGAGGACTGTCCATGGAAACACATTCCTCCTCCCAGCTCCAGTTCCGGGGAGTCCTTGTGCAGACACTTCAGCCAGCGGCTCTCAGAGGGCTGTGTTGGGAAGAACAGGAAAGCAAGCCCTTTGACTGCAGCTCTCACACCCAGGGCTCAGGGATGGTGCCTGCTGGCGAGGCCTTGGAGAGGCAGCAGAACCCCCGAACGTCCATGCTCCCTGACCCAGTGACCCCACACAGACAACAAAGGCACAGAGATACTCGTGGCGCTGTAGACGCCATTGTTTAGAAAGTGTGCAGACAGCCTCAGGCCCTCAAAAAAGGGAACAGTGCCAGCAGCCCGCTTTCCACCATATTCTGTTTTAAAAAATGAAAATACCTGGAAACTGCAATAATACAGAAGCCTTTTGTTAGTGAAAACTTAAGCAAACAAGTCTTTTCTTGACACAAAAATGATGTAACATTAAGCATTCGAGTGGCTGACCCGGACGCTCAGGTGCTGAGAGCTGCTCGTTTTATTTGCGGGTGTGTGTGCGTGGGGGTGGGGGGGATTGATTCAAGGTCACAGTTTGGAAGACCCTGGCCCAGGGCAGTAGGGGTAAGAGAGGGACTAAGACTTGGTTGGGGGTTGAGGGAGGAGGCCCCACTGAGGTGGAGTACACCAGCTCACAGGCAGGATTGGCATGGGGGAGGTTGTTAAAGCCGTTGTTGAAACAGCCATGCTATCCATAGTGCCAGGAAGCCCGCTGAAGCCAGAATCTTCGGAATTTAAAAGGAAACGAGTGACAACCAGAGTAGAGCATGGAAGCTCTCCCCAGGCTGGCTTGGCTCCCTGGGACTGCTGTGTGTGCCATGAGGAGCTCTCCATGCCTTCGCGCCTTGACACTCAGGTCCCAGATCCTGGCCTCGTTGAAGGCAGAGGCCCCAGGAATTCTGGGCCAGCAGGTGAGCAGGGCTGCCTGGGTCTGCGATGCACCACTCAGCTGGTCCCCACACTTTGCTTCCTCCACAGGCTGAGCTGTCTAGAACCCGAGACTCACCCAGGTGGTGGCTGGTGGCGTCTGCCTCCTGGATGAGCAGGTGCCTGGCTCCCGCAGGGATCTCAAACATCTTGATGTAGCCTTGGTGCAAGTGCAGGAGGACAAGGCCCAGTGAGAAGATGGCAAGCCCCACCCACCCACTGTGGGCTCTGACCACCCACCAGGAGACGGGCCAAAGGAAGAGTGGCTCCGGCCCCTCTTCTTGTCTTCAGACCCAGATACCCCACTGGCCTCTTCCACTGGAAACACAGTGGGGAGTCCAGGCTGCATTCCTCCAGGCAGGGATTCAGAGCTGCCACGTTTAGGAGGGAGGCTCTGGGTACTCCACTTGACCTGTGTAATTCTCAGCCACTTGCTCTGCACGTGTCATCAGACATCCCACCTCTGGTAGGGCTGTACTAAGGCCAGCCCACAGCCCCTGTCTTTAGGACCTGGACCAGCACCGGGTACAGGATGAGGTCCACGTGGTCACTCTATCACTTTATTCTCAAAGAGGTCAACTAAAGTGGCTTCTCCCCATTTCAGAGGTGGGCTGACGGAGGCCCAGAGGGATGCAGTTGGTAGCTGCTGGCCTGTGCAAAGAGCTGAGGCCTGGTGGAGGCACAGCCCCAGGCATGAGTGTGGTTTGAGCACATCTGGAAGGGCCCTGTGTGCTGCTGCTGGTGGTGGTGGTAGTTAGGAAGTAGTGGGACCTACAGGGACCTGGTGGGAGTCAGTCAGGTCAGGGCCTGGGGGCCCTCTACCACTCAGTACCACCCTCTCCACCTCATGTGGTCTAGGCCCTGTGGGAACCCAGGTCACATCCAAATAAACCTCTTCACTCACATGGTGCCCAAGTCTGGACAGTGGTGACAACAATGCAAGAGGCAAAGACAGAAACCCACCCCAGAGCCTGTCTCCCCTGGCAAGGGACCCGTAGCACCTAGCCCTACCCAAGGCGCCAGAGAAGTCAGACCTTCCATGCTTCCAGGTCACCTAGCAGCCCAGGGAAGTGCTGCTGAAAGCCAGCTGGGGAGGAGCCTGCTGCAAGGCAGAACTCCAGTAGAGCTTCCTAAGGTCTGTTCTCTGCCCTGTCACCTGGGGCCCTCTCCCTCTGCTCCCCAATCCCCAACCTCTGCCAGGACAGGACTGACCCAGGGGCGGGACTCACCGTGCCTCTTGGGGGAGCGTGTGAACGTGCCCTTAACCACCTTGCACCGGGTGTTGTCTCCTCTGCACACACCACACTTGTCCTCCTGCTTGCTGGAGCCGATCACCCCATCACAGCCCACCTTCTGCAGGGGAAGCAGGCTGTGAGTAACCTGCACACCCTCTCCTCGCCCTGGCACCTGCCTGTGACCTGGCACCAGTTACCCCTTTGCCCACTATCAGGGGGGGAAAATCAGGCTCTGGTTTCAGGAGGAAGACAAAGCCTGCTAGCCGTCTTCCGGGAGTGTGACCTGAATGATGCCCCCTTGCAGGCCCAGAGGTCCAAGGGTTAGGACACAGCAGGCCTTCAGGGGACACCCTTGCTCTGGCACTGTACAGCAGAGGCCTGGCTTCAGAGGCTCCTACCCTAAGGTCCACTCCATGGCCAGTCCACTCAACACCGCCACACCTGCACTAGAATTATTCTGTCCAGAGGAAAGGCGATGCTCTGCTCCAGGCCACCTGGGGAAAGCAACAGCATACTGAAGTGATTTGATTTTCCATGGTCCTAGCAGTGTCCACTGCGAGGCTCAACAAGGAAAATCCCTCTTTGGGGCTAGTCTGTGCCCACTGACCACCCTCAGAGTGCTTGATGGCATCACAGATTCCCCCCTTCCTCTTGGCTGCCAGGAAGCTCGGTGCTAATTCTCCCTTAGCAATCTTCCTGCACCAATTAGGAGAAACTCTTCCTCCTGGCACTGTGTGTTCTGGTGCTGGTCTTACCAGGACCACGGTGGGCAGGGGGCTCTAGACCCTGACAAAGCTAAGAGCAGCTCCTCTGTAGGGGCTCAAGTTCGCAATCTTTGGTTTTCAGCTTTTTCATTCACTTTTGGAAGTGAGCAGGGTAAAAGCATTCCGTACAAGCAGCACGCTTGTGTTCACATGGATGGTTCTAGAGAAAAACCCATCTACCAAAAGGAGGCAGCATGGTGGGCCCAGCCTGGGAGCACAGGCATCACCCCTGCCTGTGCACCCCCACAGTGTGCTCCCTAAACACTGTAACAGCAATGGACCTGATGTTGCTCTCTAAGCACAGGGTAGCTGGCTGGCTAGGACCTGGCCCCAGACATTACCCTGCAGATCTTGGGAACTCGTGTTTGGGTAGAATTCTTGGCAGCTGTCAAGATGGTGCATCCTGGTGTGCACACAGAGTCTGGCTTATGAATTATGCCTGGAATTGTGAGCTCTTTCTAACAAGGGTCCTACCAGGCAACTGGACAGGCTGCAAGAAGATGGGGAAGAGGAGGGAAGGGAAGTACAGCATGCTATGAGAAGCCACAGTGGTTCTGGGGTTTCCTGCTGAGAGGCACAGAGTGGGTCACAAGGGACAGAGAACAGCCAAGCTGTGCGTCCAGCAGAGCTGGCAAGCTGCAGCAGCAGTCTGGCATCCATTTTTCTGGAAGTTTGGAGGGATATTGTCTGGCAACAGATAAGGAAATTACTGGCGTTGCTCTTGCCAGGCAATGCAGCCCTCTCAGGGTTCTCAGGGACAACATCTCATCCTTGGAAAAGCCCCTGATGATGCAGGTGCCATTCAACACTCAGCATCATGCAGCTGGCCTCACTCAGGTAGGCAGGAACACCAGGCAGATGAGGCTGTGAAGGGTAAATGATGCTGCTAGCCTACCAGCTCTTCCCTTTAATTCTGAAAGGGCTGATGGTGCAGAGAATAACTGGGGTGGAAGATGTTGCAGTGCTAGTGGGTGACTATCCCCTGGGGGTAGGGTTGGGGGCAGTGGGGAGCTAACGAGGTCTGGCTTTTCTGTCTGTGATACAGTCCTGTCCATCAGCCCCTCCCTACTGTACAGAGCTTTTACAACCTGCATGTGTTGATGCATTCTGAATTCACCAAAGCATGGACCCTGTCGGCCTCGCTCATGCCTGCTTTACCAAGCCACTGCCGTGTGTGCCACACCTGGGGCAGGTCGGCACACCTCTTCTCTCTCCATCTTTCTGTGACCTGCCGGGGATCATGGTAACCTTCCCACACGGGAAGCATTCTGCTTCCTGTATTATGACTTTCATGGTACATCTTTGTGGGGGACAGCACAGAAATATAATCCGCAGATGCCACAGGCCCTGTTTAAAGCCATTGGGTTTAGATGATCCCCCAACAGCTACCTGGTGTTCACCCGTGTTAGGTTCCCAAGAGGGTATTAGGACATTTGACCTCCTCTGCTTCTGTTGTCCGGATCAGAGGTGAGGTTGCAGTCATGCCCATGAGATGGTGAATTAGCACACCCAGGTTCAGAACCATGGACAGCTGCTTCTACTGCTAATGGCGCCTCCTACTGAGGGCCTGCACTGAGTGAGTGAGTGTGTGTGTGTGTGTCTCTTGGCCTGCACTTTGCTGTTTAGACAGCTTAACATTCTTCTCATGAACACACTTTCCACATGCAAAGCAACCCCTCTTAAGTATATAGCCCAACACTGTCTTTATCTGACTCACCTGACCCACGTACATCCAGCCAGTTTCCCCAGCCCTCAGCCAGGCCGGGGCTTGGCATCCCACAATACAGCTTCCTACCTTTTCTAAAGTATTATTTAAAGGATCCCAAAAGGGTGCCTGCTTAGTTTTGCAGTTTTTTGAGGGCTGGGGGTAGAGACTGTGGCCCAGGTTTTCTAGACACAGAACCTGGCCCAGGCTCTTCCTTACCCCTGTATCTGGCCAACCCCACTGCCTCCCACTGTGCTCCTGTACACAGCCCTGCCCTGGTGCAGGTTGAGCCTGGCTGGACACCCGGGTGCTCAGGCAAATGCACACTCCCAGTCATGGCCTTGAGCTCAACTCCCTGTGGCCAGCCCACCCTGACCGCAGGGTACTCACCCTGCAGTCCCCGCGCACACAAAGGCTGAAGGCGTCCTTGTAGGAGCAGCGTGTGCCGTCGTGCACCATGCGCTTCATGGACACCACCTCCCCGGTCTCCTTGGACTCGCAGTAGAGGTGACAACGTTCCTTGGCTGGAGGGAGATGGCATGGCATTAGCCGGGAGCTGGGAAGGAGGGTTCCTGTGCCTGCTGGCTTACAGCACTCACACTAAGGGGACCCTGTCAGGAACCCTGGCAGCAAGATCTGCATCTCTGTTCACAGCTAAGCTGCAGCCCCAGTGCTCCCTGTGAGCTTGGTGCCTTCCTGAGCTGCCAGCCTGGCTGCCTGGCCCGTCAGGTTCACATGCTCCATCAAGCTGTGACCTTGCTCTCCGTGGTCTGAGTGGCTGCTCTCACTCCCTCCCTCTCTCCCTGTCTGCCTCTCAGATCCACCCTGAGCAGGGCCCACCAGTGCTGACGGATGTCCTACCCCACTACACCTCACTACTTCTGCCTCACGTCTGACTTCTCTCTTACAGGAAGACAAGAACCTCTGTTCCAGTGGTGCCTGCTAGCAGCAGAAGGCACACAGGGTGTGCAAATGCAGTGCCTCTGTCCCCAATGGGTCTCTGCACTGGTGCAGCCCTGCAACCGAGTGATGGCTGCATAAGACATGTCACGGCTCCAGCTCCCAGGCTTTTCTGTCCTGTGAAGCCACAGACGCCTTAGGGTGTGTTTTCCTAAGCAACACCTGTGTCCCATCCCAGGGATCCCTGCTGAACCAGCTCTTCATTCCCGGCTGGCTCAGTCCTGCACCTCCAGTCCTGCCCACCAGGTGGCGACGGCGGACTTCAGTCCTGCTTGGCCTCTCTGGCCTTGCTCTGGCTTGCCTGGGATTGCTACCTTGTTTGGAACCTAAGTCCCACCCACCCACCCCCAGCAGCAGGCCCCATGGGTCCTGAAGTATAGAAGGGTGCAGGCCCCAGCTGGACTTGCACCAGCCCAGATGCTGAGCCCCTGCTGTCCCTGGTCTCACCATCCCGGTGCTCGTGGGGTAGCCACTGGTGCTGGCCATCACCATGCTCAAAGTACAGGTCCCACTGTCGGCATTGTTCCTCGCGGAAGTCGGCCAGGGTGTCTGGGCAGTCCTGAGGGTTGTAGAGCTGGAAGTCGTAGGCAAGGCCTGAGCAGGTGCGGCCACCATTGGCTGGGCTGCAGGGGAAAAAAATATAAGACCTGCCGCTGGGGGCCACCGGATAGCCAGCACTTGGGGTGCCATTTGTGGAACAGGGAAGTCCTAGATGGTGGTTCCAGCCTATGCCTGCAGCCTGGCCCAGCCTTGGCTATTGTGGGCATCTGGGGAGTGAACCAGCAGATGGGAGATCTCTCCCTCTTCATCTCTTATAAATAAATAATAACTAAATTTTAAAATGTCCTTAAGAGTTTGTGAGAATGCAAGGGCCTCCTTCCTGCCTCAGCTCCTATCCAGGGTAGTAGCTTGGGGCCTCCAGACAGGAAGGAGTGAGCATGGGCAGAGAGGGTTCCGTGGACAAGCTTGGGAGCTGGCCCCACGTAAGGTACTCTGGGGGAAAGCTGACCACTGCTGAGCTCTGGCCTTCAGATCCTGTAAGGCTAAGATGAACTTGACTTCTGCTGTGGTCTGGATATGATTTGGTCCCCAGACTCAGATAGGAATTCAAATCTGAGGTTGTAGATTCAGAAGGTGGAAACCACCTTTTAGGAGCAGGGCTCAGTGGAAAGGATTCCCATCCTTGAGGCCAAGCCTCTGGTTCTCACAGAGACCAGCCTCTGCTTCCTCCCACCTATACTGCCACCTGCTGCCTGCGCCAGAGGCCAAACCAATGGGGTAGTGCCATCTTGGACTTGAACCCTGCAAGCCATATGCTATGTGGACTTTTTCTCTTCCTAAAGTGAGTTGGCTCCAGAATTCTGGCATTGTGATGAAGAGCTCGCTGGTTGAACCTCTGATCCAGGAACCCTGAAGGCTGATGCCTCAGGCTCCCCATGGCCAGCACAGAGCCTGATCACAGATGGTCAAATGGCCCAAGTGGGTGGACAGGGCGATCTGCTGCAGGGGGTGTAGCTTGGCTGAACATGCATGCCCTCTAGAGCTGAGTCTAGAGCTGCATTGATGGCGCTCAGCTTGGAAGTCACAACTCTATTTTATGCTATTTCCTATGAAATTCCAGAATTTTAGTATTTTCAGATAAACTGAAGTCTTGAAAACACTAGACAAGTGAAATAAAATCAAAGAGAGAGAGAAAAAAAAGAAGGGAAAAAGAAAGCAGGAACAGAATAAGAGAAAGCAACCCTCCTGTGTTCACACAGCCATAACCACAGAGCCTCCAGCATGAGGCCCATGAGCAGGTGGAAGTGCTGGTGTAATAGAGATTTAGCCATGATGCTGGCTGGCACCCACAGTCCACTCTCTAAGGGCACACACTACACTGGCTGGGCCAAGGGAAGGGATTAGGTAGGGGATGCTCTCAGGCAATCAGGGCAGGGTAGGAATGAAGAGCTGGCTGTGGGTGGGGGAAGGACATGGATTGGATGAAGGGCCTGCCTACGGGGGTGAGGCTGGTTAAGGGTAGCCCCACAAGCTCTCTCCCTGTCAGGCAACTCTGGGGTAGCAGGTCCCAACCCTGTCTCCCAGGCACTGAGAGAGCCTCCTCTCCATCCCTGTGTCCTCCACAGCTGTGCACCTGCTCCCCTCCATGCCCTAGGACACGGTGGGTTGATGGTTGACAGGTCAGGAACGCAGGTTTCCAGGCTGTGTGGGTGGCAGGATCTGACCTGCCCTTCTGCTCTGGCCTGCAGGGTAAATCTGGCCTGCGAGGATTTGTGGGGGACCGCAGCTATCGTTGAGGAGACACTGGGGCCAACTTACGGTGGGTTGTCACACTGGCGGGTCCTGAACTTCACACCTGTGCCGCAGGTGCGTGAGCAAGAGCCGAATGGGGTCCAGGCGCCCCAGTTGCCATCCTGTTTGAGGATGTCAGGTGTCAGCCAGATGCAGTGTCCCTTAAAGCAATGCTGCAGAACAGACAAAAAGCCATGCCCTTGACCTGAATCACACAAACAAGGCTACTCGCACAGCCCACCCCACTGTGAGGCCTGGGCCACCTGCCCTGTGCCAAAGCACCAGGGACACATGAGGAAAGGTATTCCCACACTCAAGGTCAGGTCTGGCTACTGGCTGGGCACTCACGTCCCTCCGTCTCCCAAGGCCAAGGGGAAGGGCTCAGGCAGGAGGTGCCTCGTGCTGGCCTCCCTCCAGCTCTGGCTCTGCCCTCCTGATCACAGCATGCCCCCACAGTGTCTGTAAGAACAAGGTTACCCACATGCCCATTTTGGGAGTGACAACAGCACATCCAGCTCATGATTCCAGAGACATTGCTTAACCCATTTACAAAGTCCCACCAAAGGAGGGTCTCTGCTTTTTATTGGTTAAATTTGTCTGGTAAAGTATTATGCCTTTTTGCTGTAATGTTATTCTCAAAAACAAAACAAACCAAACAAGGGAGAGAGAGGAAGAAAGGGAATGTTACATTGTTAGAATTAGATCTACAAACTATATTGAATCTGCTAAAAAGAAAAAAACTACTTAAAACTAAAAGAAAGCATTAAAAACAAAGGGCACTTACAACTCTAACTTACAACTTAGTAGTAAAATACAACCCTAACTTACAACTCACTGATAACACAGTAAATAAACAAAGCAGGGGCAGGTGTGAGGGCTCAATTGACTAATTCTCCTCTTGCAAGCTCCAGCCCTCCATGGGCACAAGTTCGTGTCCCAGCTGCTCCACTTCCTATGAAGTTCCCTACCTCTGGTCTCAGGATGGCCCAAAGCCTTGGGACCCTGCACCCACGTGGGAGATCCGGAGGAAGCCCCTCACTCCTGGCTTTGAATTGATTCCACTCTGGCCATTGCAGCCATTTGGGGAATGAATCAATGGACGGAGGATCTTCCTCTCTTTCTCTCTTTTTCTCTGTGGATCTGCATTTCCAATAAAAATAAGTAAACCTTAAAAAAAAAAAGTTAAGCAAAGCAGGGCTGGCATCATGGTGTAGTAGGCAATGCTGTCTCCTCTAACACTTGCTTCCTTTATGGGCACCAGTTCAAGATCTGGCTGCTCCACTAATGATCCAGCTTCCTTGTAATATGCTTGAAAAACATCAGACGATGTCCCAAGTGTTTGAATGCCTCCCACCCACATGGGAGACCCAAATAAAGCTCCTGGCTCCCAGCTCCAGTGATTTGGGAAATGAACTAGTGGATGGAAGGTCTGTGTGTGTGTGTTTAACTTTGACTTTCAAATAAACAAAAAATTTTTTTTCAACATCAGAGTAGGAAAATCTATAGAGAAAGGAAATCTGCAGAGGAAGCAGATAAGTGGCCATCTGGGCATGATGGCTGGAGTGACCGCTGATGGGTCCCTGGCTTCTCTTTGGTGTGATAAACGTATTTGCTCTGAGAGTCGGTAGAGCTCCGTGAATATCCCGAGAATCACTGAGTGTTCTTTGTCTGTGGCTGCCTTCGCATGAGGTCACTTCTGGTGAGATGGAAGTGGCCTTCGCACAGCAGCTTGCCAGCCCTGTGTAACATGTTGAAGGCAGCTCTTTTTCTCTTCCTTAGAACCAATCATTTAAATAAGCCATTGGTCCTGTCACCTAAAGGGTGGACACAGGCCACCTTTCCCTGACAGGGTTCATAGGGTGTGTCCTGTCTTCTTGGTCAGAGCTCAGCTTTCAAAGGCTCTTACAATGAGCGACACTTCACAAGCTGAAGCTGTCAACATTCTTACTTTAGGAGTTTCACGTTGTCTCAGATGCTGTCAACATTTCACGTCAACTTAGAAGGAAGGTGAAATGCCTGGCCAATTCGCTCATCTGCCCCTTTACCCATTGGCTGTTCCAAATCTTGCCTGTCACCTTCATGAAGTACAACGATTGCTCTTGGTTTGATCCAAAATGAGATTTGTTGTTAAACGTCAAATTTTGAAGACAGTCTTATTTTTCCTTTTTCAAAACAGATGTGTTTTATTTATTTGAAAGGCACAATGACAGAGTTATGGGGAAGGGAGAAAAGAGACATAGAGATGAGAAACCCATCCACTGCTTGACTTCCCAACACCTGGAGCTGACCCAGGCCAAAGTCAGGAGCCAGGAGCCCCATCCAGGTCTCCCACATATATGGATGGCAGAGGTTGGCCAGCCCAGCTCCAGAGCTCCAATGGAACTGGCTGAGCCCTCAAAGGGAGCCATGTCCCTGTCCAATGCATCATCATGCCTACCTGGAAAGCTCCTGCCATCAGGGCTGCTTGTGAGAGGATGTGTCCCATCTCCCTCCTGACCCACCAGCAGGTCCTTCTTTACCTGCCCATCTGTGCACAGGTCTCTGCCATGACCCCTCACCCCTCACCCCTACAGCCTGCTGAACTGCTCTCAGGCCTGTCCTGAACCCAAACAGAGCCCACTGCACAGGCTGTTCCTCTCTGGATTTTCCCCTGGCCTCCACTATTGCCCAGCTGGAATAACAAGCCCAGTGGGCCTGGTAGGGGTTCTTCAGAGTTGCCTGACTAGGTCACAGTACCTGCTGGTATACACAAGAGCCAGGGCTGAGACAGCACAGGTCAGGTTAGGGCTATAGCATCTATGCATGTACACAAAAGTCAGAGCTTGGAGTGGGGGTTCTTAAGGGTCTCCTCAGCTAGGCTGCAACACCCAATGGCACATGAGAGAGCCAGGGCTCGGGGCTGAGCCTGCTGGGGGGGGGTCCCTTGGAATTATACCAGCTATGCTATAGCACCTACCTGTGAACATGAGAGCCGGGACTGGGGGCAGGCATGGTGGTGGTTCTTAAGAATCTCCTTGGGCCTGGCATGGTGGCCTAGCAGCTAAAGTCCTCGCCTTGAATGTGCCAGGATCCCATATGGACACCGGTTCTAATCCCAGCAGCCCTGCTTCCTATCCAGCTCCCTGCTTGTGGCCTGGGAAAGCAGTTGAGGACAGCCCAAAGCCTTGGGATCCTGAACCCGTGTGGGAGACCTAAAAGAAGCTCCTGGCTTCAGATCAGGTCAGCTCTGGCGATTATGGCCACTTGGGGAGTGAATCATCAGATGAAAGATCTTCCTCTCTTTCTCTCTTCCTCTTTGTATATCTGAATTGGCAAAAAAAAAAAAAAACAAAAAAACAAAATATCTTAAAAACAAACAAACAAACAAACAAATGAAAACAGAGAGAGAGAGAATCTCCTTACTAGACCACCACACTCACCAAGTCATTGTGAAGAGTTGGGCTGAGACCAGGACTGGCCACCTGCTAGCATGTGTATGGGTTAACACAGGGGGCATGCTGGGCCCCCTGCACCAGCCAGAGCTCATGGGCTCTAGCTTAGAACCTCTTAAGTGGGGACTCTTAAGGGGTTTCCCAACTAGACCATTGTGCTTGATCAATCCCTGACCTCAGGGAAAATCATGTGATCTGACCGTGCAGCCCATGTTATAGGACTGAGCCTCCTCAGTGCTGACTCTCATGCAAGGATAGAGAACATACCTAGATGTATTCAAGAGACAAGACAGTTTGCTCGTCTAAGCAAAAGACTAGGATACCCCACCAAAGGGTGGAAAGAAGGGCAAGCTGAACAACACACCATGCCAGGTCTTACAGCAAGCATACTGAGACGCTCAGGGACAGCCAACAGTCCTTAGAATTTCTCACCTCTGGTGTATCAAATCTGACATCTTTTCAGAACAATCAAGACCACTCGAGTAACACTCTTGGAACATTTTTTCCTTCACTGGGACTCTTAAGCTGACTGAGATGGTCTGACAGCAAGGAGCTATCATATCCCACACCCCCATGGAAACATTTGTCGCACTCACCTTCCTACTCCCACCCTACCCAACTCCACAATCCTCTCCATCTTAATCAGAGGCCCACATGGATCTGCAACCGCCTCAACTTCATAATAAATACTACAATAAAGTAACAATTAAAAAAAATAAGAAAACCAAAGAGGTCCAGCAGGCCTGGCTCCAGGCCACCAGGAATCCTGGTCATGTCTGTGCTGGACCACTGTCATCCCCTCTCTTCTCACTAAAGCTATTCCCATTCGGCCAGGAAGGACAGAGGAAGCACACACAGAAATGCTGGCTGCTGTCCCCTCTAGTGGGGGCACTTAGTGGGGCTGAAAGGCCAGGGGGCTGGCACAGGGGAGGGAGTGCTGTGTTCCTGTGCAGGAAGGGAAGTCTGGTTCCTGCCGTGATGGTAACAGGAGCAGAGGCCCTCACCAACAGAATGGGTGGGTCCTCCCAGCAATAGATCTGGGGCACAGTCCCCAGGCCCTGAGGATCCCAAGAATAAGGGGAGATCACACTGTGACCACCCCCAGTTCCAGCAGGCACAGAGAGCCTAGTATAGCCACACAGGACACCCATGAGGCTCAGCAGACCTTCAGCCACCTGCAAAGAGGCATTGCGTGTCTGCTGCAGGAAGAAGGCAAACAAAGCAGACAGGAAGTCGCCCCCTCCCCACCCAGCATGCTTCGGGTGCTGGGTGACTGAGCATTTGTGGAGTGTTGCCTTAAACCAGCAGCTTCATGTCTGGCTCTCTCACGTGGTTAGGTGTTAAAATGCTTCAAATACTCAGGGTTTAAATGCCTACAGACTCACTATTCACCAGATAGGCTTCCACCGGGGTGCTGCAAAGTCAGGTGGCCCCAGTGCACATGGAGCCCACATGAGGAATAGGGACTAACAGAACGAGGAGCCGCCTGGGGCTGGCTCCCTAGGCTACTTCCCTCCTGCTGCAGGGCACCAGGCAGTCCACAGGAGTCTCCCTCTCTGGCTGAGCACCCAGCCCTTGCCTTTCATTCACTCTGAACCCCTCTTGCTGCATCCCACCAGAGTCCATGGCTCTGAACCTCAAGGGCATGGATGACACCCCACTCCCACCCCCCACCCCAGCCCTGCCATCCTCCCAGCCCCTTGCTGCAGCAGAGCAGACAGGAGCAAGCTGCCCCAGTTAAGGGCGGGGGAGGGAGACAGCTCATTTGTGGATGTTTTTCACTTCTCTCCAGGTTGCCTGTGTGCATGCAGACTTTTGCTCCAGTGGAGAATTAAAAACAAAACAAAATGTTGAGTAGGCACAAGTGGAATGGAACACCAGAGACCAAGACAGGGAGGCATACTCATGACCCCTTGGCTGGGAGAAGGCAGCCCAGTGGTGTCCAAGGTCTGAGCTCTGTGCTGCTGGCTGCTGCTGAGAGTCCCAGGGACCCTGAGGCCCTGCTGGGCGGGGTGCAGCCCAGGTCCTTGCTCTTCTCTCAGCCCGGCCCGACCTTCCCTGTGCCTTCTTTCCTTGCCTTTTCTTGTTAGGCAAGCAGGTGCAGGCAGGAAAGCCTCTTGCTTGCTCTGGTTTGAATGTGTTCCACTGTTGGAATCTGACTGTCCCCCATGCCCCAGCATGCCCACACTGACAGGTGGGAGCCTGACAAGATATTTGGGCCATGAGGCTCTGCCTCCATCCGGGGGTTCCTGGTCCTTTCAGGGGTGTCACTTTGTTACCAAAGGACAGTTACCAAAGGACAAGTTTGACCACTTTATCCCCACCTCCAGAGCCGGAAGCCTGTTTGTTAAAAATGAGCCTGTTTAAGCCCAGTGTGGTAGCTCAGTGGCTTAAGGTCTCACCTTGCACATGCTGGGATCCCATATGGGTGCCAGTTCTAATCCTGGCAGCCCTGCTTCCTATCTAGCTCCCTGCTTGTGGCCTGGGAAAACAATTGAGGACAGCCCAAAGCCTTGGGATCTTGCACCTGTGTTGGAGACCTAAAAGAAGCTCCTGGTTTCTGGTTTCAGACTGACTCAGTTCTGGCCATTGTGGCCACTTGGGGAGTGAACCAGTGGATAGAAGATCTCCCCCCTCTGTCTCTGTTCCTCCATGTATGCATGACTTTCTGTAGAAGGACATTATGACCCTGGAAGGTCAGCGAGCACAGGATTACAATTGATTGGATAATATTTGTATGATAACAACCGAATGGATACCTTTTGTATAACTGATTGGATATCATTTATATGAGTTGAGTGGACAGATGTGAATGAGAACCCTTGGTGGAATATACAAAACAAAAGGAGTTCCAAACAAAAGCATAGAAACGGTTGATGGGTTTGTTGATAAGCTCAATACTCCCTCCCTTATCCCATATGACCCTCAGTGTATAAAGTCTGATGCCACTAATAAACTTTTGACCATCAGTCAGAGTCCACGCATGTTCAATTTTCAAGGGTTGGAAACGTATTCAAATCTGTTTTCCTGAAATCTCCAAATACACATGAAGAAAGCCAATCTGGTCTTGGATGCTTGGCCCAGTCCCTTCCCATTTCACCACCCCTGGGGTGTGGTGGGATTGCCAACATTGGCCTAGAGGCCCTCACTGGACACTCCTTCCTGGGATGGGCCAAGTGCACAGGTGCATCTGGCAAAGCCAATGGCTCCTCCACCACGCTCCTCCCACTACACTTGCCCCCCGATTCCCCACCTGAGGGCAGCTCACCTTGCATGCCTGACAGCCCGAAGTCCTGCCGAGTGAGGAAAATTGCATGATCGTGATACTCGTCGTGGTCTGTGTCTGGCTTCTGCTGCAGGTAGGCCCAGTGGCAGACATTCTCCAGGCTCTGGGAAGGGTTCCCGATCTCAATGAGGCTCATGGACTGCAGGGAAAGGGGAAGGAGAGAGGAGGGAATGGTGTGGCCACTGGGGTTGGAGAGACAAGGCTCTCTGTCCTGGCTCTAGCAGCTCAGGACAGGCCTCCCGCTGGGCTGCACTCTCCTGAATAAGGACGGGTTTCCCAGCACCTTCACACGAAGTCCCTGCTGGGTTCTCAGGGAAGACACTGAGGCCAAACTCCTAAGCTGTCTCATACAGTCCTTCACCTTCCTCCAGGTGCAGGAGGGCCTGAGTTGTAACAGACCCCTGTACTGAGTGGGCTCTAGGTAGGATATAGGTGCAGGGAACCGGAAGGCCCAGTAAGACCTGCAAGCCTGGAGGAAGGGGGCAAAGGCCTTGCCTCACCCCCATTTAAAGGCATTTACAAGGCACAAAACAAACATGGTAAAAGGAGCTACACGTGACACAACCACGGGCCGGCCGTGTACTGGTGATTCCCACAGGGACCACAAATAGGAAGCCCCTGAGACGGTCCCACCCCAGGTGGCTGAGGCTGGCCATGGACTCCTCCCCCATTCCCAGGCCTGTGCACCTGCCCTGCACAGTGGAGCACTGGCCCACACTCTCATTCAGCTCCCACTCACGTGAGAGACAGGCAGCCGAGGCTCAGACAAGTAGCTTGTTTCAGGGCATACAGACAGGGAGAAACTGAACTAAGAACCAGGATGCCAGAAACCCACTCTTCCTCTGTCCACTGTCTGAAACACTCTCTAGAGCACATGCCAGGCTGTCTCAGAAGGGAGGAGGTGCTTCTCCATCCCAGGTATTTTGATTTCTGCTCTTATCGCCTGTCCTCAATCAGCTGGTTCACTCCCGAAATGGCAGCAACAGGGGTGCCAGCTGGGTCTCCCACATGGATGACAGGGTCCCAAGCAGGGGAGCTTTGCTGTGCTAATTCCCCGGGTCCTCAATGGGAGGAAGCTGTAGCTGGGAGCCAGACGCAGCAAACCAACCTAGGTGTCCTGATATGGGATGTAGGTATCTACACCAGATATCTGCCCCAGCCAATCTTTTAACTCCATTTGCTCACCTATTTTTCTTTTTTAAGATTTACTTATTTTTATTGCAAAGTCAAATATACAGAGAGGAGGAGAGACAGAAGAGAAGATCTTCCATCCGATGATTCACTCCCCAAGTGACCATAAGAGCTAGAGCTATGCTGACCCAAAGCCAGGAGCCTGGAGCTCCTTCTGGGTCTCTCACGTGGGTGCAGGGTCCCAAGGCTTTGGCCTATCTTGACTGCTTTCCCAGGCCACAAGTAGGGAGCTGGATAGGAAGTGGGGCTGCCAGGATTAGAAATGGCACCCATATGGGATTCTGGCACGTTCAAGGTGATAACTTTAGCCGCTAGGCCACCACACTGGGCCCTCACCCATTTTTTTTTTTTAAAGTCTGCTCTTATATCACCACAAAGCAAAGCCTACCCTCACATCTGCAGATTCAGCCAGGTACAAACTGAAAATAGTTTCATCTATATGTGATGGGGGCTGGGAGGGGGAGCGAGGTATGTAAGTCACATCTTGAAACAGACTCCAGAGCAAGGGAGGGCCAGGCCTGCCCTATTTCTAACACCCCTCTGGCCTCTTGTGAGAACTGGCAGCAACCATGACAATCTACTGAATCTCTCCTGTGGACCATCGCCAAGAACCTTGCCACAAGGGCCATCACCACCTCCTGAGACTCCCAACACCCAAAGTCTCGGGCAATAACCACATCTGAGCCACAGCAGCATCCAGGCCACACTGGCAGTGCCCAGGTCAGAGGGAAATTCATTCCCTGAATCCTCACCCAAGTACCTGCATGCAGCCAAGCCTGAAGCCTGCCCAGCATGTGGCTGCTGCAGGCCACAGGTCAGCATCCAGACTTAAACACATGGCCATGAGCAGGACCCAGGGCTCCTCGCCAGGTCACCCAAGTGGGACTATACCATGCGGCCATCTGTTTCCCAACACAATGGACCAGGGAGACAATAAGAGGTCACACATTCAAGACAAAAGCCTCTGTCTGTGTAACCTAATCTCAACTGGTTCAAATCCAGGGATGGGGAGTCTTTCAGGCCACAAGTCTCAAAAGTAGGGTTACCAAGACTGTCTTAGAGACTGCCTGCTTCTAGCAGGTCTCATTCAAGAAGTTCCTGTGACTGGCACGGGGGTACAATGTGTTAATGCATGACTTATAAATGTTGGCATCTATAGTGGAGCTCAAGACCCAACTGCTCTACTTCTGATCCAGCTCCCTGCTAATGTGTAGGGAAAAGCAGTGGAAGATGGCCTAAGTACTTGGGCCCCTGGCAATCACCCACATTGGAAACCCAGATGAAATTCCAGGCCTGCGTTTGGTTTGGCCCAGCCTCAGTCATTGCAACCATTTGCAGAGGTAGCCAGAAAACTGAGGATTCCTCTCTCTCTCTCTCTCTCTCTGTAACTCTACCTTTCAAATCAATATACTAAATATTTTTAGAAATCTCTCTTGTGACAAGAGGTGGTTGTGAGTTCTGTTGTTATTCCTTGTAGATATGAGAGCAGAGCCATGTACTTCCTCCTTTGTGGGGACCAGGGTTCCCCAGCCAAGGGACCAGCTGTGATGTCCCACTCCAAGAGAGGACAGCTCTGGCTACACACTCCAACATCAGGCCCAACAGGCAGGGGACGCAGCCAAAGGCAGAGCCAGGCACAAGGGGAGGATGCCAGCAGGCTAGGGCCAAGTAGAAGCTTCACCCACTGTGGCTGGGCTTCCTGTGGACCTGGGAAGAAGTTGCAGGCTGGATGTGAGGAAGGAAGCCCTATATCTGCCCAGGTGTGCTGGCAGGGCCCTGAGGAGTCCTCCCCGTGGGATAAGGAGGGGCAGCACCAGACAGCAGTGAGGGCTGTAGCAAACCATGGACGCTGTCAGTGTCTACCATCATTCTGTACAGTGGTAAGTCTGTTCTGCATAGCTCAGATGAGGCTCCCTGCCTCCTACATATCTCCCAGCACCTCCTCCCTGGGGACCAAGGTCACCTCACAGGAAACTGGAGAACAAGGCCAGCAACACCCCATCAGCAACCACAGAAGGAAGATCAAGCCAGCCGTTAACTCTGGATCTATAATAACAATCCTACTCAACAGCAAATGTTGGCTCTGACCAAAATTTACTCTGTGGACAGAACAAAATCCACAGCTGGCCCTGACCCCTGGCTGTATCCTCCATCCTCCTTGAAGCTGTGTTTAAGCTGTTTGGCCCAGCCTCACAGTGCAACAGGGTACAGGTTCCAGAAACCCCTGCAGATACAACAATCTACAATGTTCAAGTCCCTCATTAGAAATGTTGCTTTTGCTGCCAGTGTCATGGCAAAGTGGGTAAAATTACCTCCTCTGCTGTGGGATCCATATGGAAGGCTATAAATGTCCCAGCTGCTCCACTTATGATCTAGCTTCCTGGTGATGGCACCAGGAGAACCAACAGAGGATGACCCAAGTGCCTAGGCCCCAGCACCCATGGGGGGAAGACCCAGAGAAAGCTCTTGGTTTCAGCCTGACCCAGAGCTGTCTCTTGGGGCCATTTGAAGAATCAACCAGTGAAGAAAGAGCTCTCTCTTTCTCTTTCTGTAACTCTGGCTTTCAAGCAGAGTTGAGTGGGGCCAGAATTGAGAGTTGTTCTGATAGAGCAGTGATGGCGTGGCAGCATTACTGAGGAGAAGGTGCAGGACGAGGGTGGGTGATCAGTAAGGATGGTGCTGGAGCCACAGCACCTAGGGGCCACTGTCATGGGGTCGTCTTTGCTATAGAGATCCCTAGATTGGTAAGAGGCTGGCAGCTTTGCTTTGGGCAGCTCTGCCGCTTTTTAGGGCACAACCCTCAGAGGTCATCAGTCCAGCTTCACTGTCCCAAGGCCTAGGGCGGCCTGGTTCCTAAGACCTGACACTGGATGATCTTTTTCTGCCTCTTGCGTTGGGCCTGCCCTGCATCCCGTTGCCCCTCCCGATTCTGGGGAGCTGCTGATGCTGGCTGTGTGCTTGCTCGGGATACCAAAGTCCTCCCAGGGACAGCAGTCCAGGGCGAGCCACCTCGGCACAGCTGGGGCATATAATAGAGGTCTGGCTGGCTGTGGACAGGAGAAGAAAAAACCTTAATTCCATTTTCTATTTCTTTAGAATTTCACTTAGAGAGGTAAGAGTTTATGCAAAAAGAGCACCCCATCTGCTGGTTCATTCCCCAAATGTTGGCTACTGCTGGGGCTGGGCTGGCCTGGAGCCTGGAGCACAGTCCAGGTCTCCATGTGGGTGGCAGGGCCTAGCCACATGAGGTGCCACCTGCTGCCTTCTGGCATGTGCATCAGCAGGAACTGGAGCCAGAACTTGCACCCCGGCACTCTGATATAAGCTGTGGGAGTCTTCATTGGCAATCTTCTCACCAGTCAAAGGTTGGTCCCTCACCAGTGTTCTGCAGTACCCTCACAATACGTTTTCCTCTCCCTATGTGTCTGTGATGACTTCCCCTTTTCATGTAGAGCTTGTCGGCTTCTCTCTGCCACCTCTGAGCTATCTCTTTGTCGCTCTCGTGCTCTTGCTCTTTAGGGCCACTGTTAAGTAAGACAGTGATAAACGGAGGGTAAGCACAGGGGTATGACAACATCTGAGCTGGTGCAGGCAGCTCCTGAGGGGCTAAGGGTGGCTAGCACTCAGCCGGGACACGCTGTCAGAAGGCTGCTTTGTGACCTGGGAGAGGCAACACACAGCTACTGTGAGATGCCACCACCCGGCAGAGCGGCGCAGAGTTTGTTTGCAATTTCCCATCTCCTGTTTCCAGCCTTCAGTTGACCACGCATGATTGCATCCTTGGAAAGCAAATCCAGCACGTGAGAGAAGTGTCGCCTTGCTCTCATCACGCCTGCCTTCTGAAGTGGCAGCCTGTGAGAGGTGCCTGCTGGGCTGGCGCATCGGGCCAGCAGCCATCCCTGCCCCAAGGGCATCTGACTCCAGGCTGCCCACTTGACTTCAGCAGTGTGTGCCTCTGGATTCCACCTGCTCTCAGCTTCACTGACTTGGGGCAGAGGGGGTGATCAGGGGTGAGCCCCAAGCCACTCCAGGTGTTCACAGTCCAGCAGCCCTTTCCCGGAGGGAGCCTTGGGCACCCACCATGCAGTAAACAGTGGGAGGTAGGCAGCTCCACACTCTGGGATCCGTTTCCTGAGTGCCTGAGGATCTCTAAGTCCTGGGGTTGGGGTGGGGCAGACATGAACACAGCAGAAGCTCCCAGAACCCAGCCCTAGCATGGCGACCCCAGAGGGCCCAGCAGTCTGCAGTGCAGGAGCATCCCTGTGGACTGACCCTCCCCCCACCGCCTTCTCCGCCACAGCCACTGTGTCTGGGGTCACAAGAACAGCCAGCTTCCCAGCAGGCTTTGTGGGGCCCTCCAAGGGGGGCCCAGGGACACAGGTTTGTTCCCTCTCCCTGCTCTGCACCAATGTGGACTTCGCTGGTACCCCAGTGACTCTGCCACCCAAAACTCTTGTCTAGAAGTCACATCTCTCATTTCCTGGCTTTACTGCCAGGCTAGCTAGGTGCCCAGGATCCTGCCAGGTGCAGGAGGGCCTCCCTCAGGGGGTCCTTGTTAACCGCACCAGGGGCCTGGCTGGCGGGCACTGCTCAATACCTGCTCAGCCCAAGACTGGCTACAAGGCTGTTTGGGGCTCCCAATCCACTCCCCTTAGAGTCACTGACCCCTTGCTTTTGGGTCGGGAGAGACTCCAAAGAACTCTCTGCAGAGCTGCAGGAATCAGGGCTAGAGTGACTCCAGTGGGCCCAGGTGGCAAAGTGGTTCCTGTCTAGCTTTAAGGCCCCAGTGGTCCTGGCCATGACTTGCACCCTCACTCCCATATTCTGGGTGAGGTCCCCTGGCCACACGGTGCACCAAGGTCGACAGGGCTTTCCTCCTTGCTGGCTTCTCTCAATTGGCTGAACTATTACCTCCTGAAGAGTAAAGGGCCAATTTGGGCCTGGGTCTGTCTCTCAGGCCTGCTCCACCCTTGCATTCATTTTAGCCCCTCTTCATCCATCCATCCCACAAATAGTGAGCAATCCCTCAGGGCACAGAGGCTGCAGTAGCGAATGAAGCCACCACTGTCTGTGCCTGCTCACAGAAGAAATGAATGAATGAAGAAATAAATAGATGCACATTCTGCAGCCAGGCAGGGAAAAAGATGTACAAGGTTTAGGGCCCAGCAGGTAGCAGGGGGATGGAGGAGCGGGTCTCTAGGGAAAGGAACTAACTCCAGGAGTGGCAGTCGCTAACTCCATGTGCCATCCATGGGCTCTGGTGTTGCGAGTGCATGCCTTCTTTCAACTCTACAGTCACCAGAGGCTCCAGGGGCTGCAAGCATCCAACTTTTGAGAAGAAGATTTGTGACTACTGAGGCCACTGCAATAACTCACCCAGAGCCGCACAGCTGGGCAGAGGAATCCCCTGGAACTACACAGCATCCGGGGTGGACGGAGCTCCACAAGGCCACCAGGTGGTGCTGTCTGCACAAAAATGACACCACTGGCAGCTTGACTTGGCCAGGGGCACTTCCCATTGCTGGGGCTGGATTTGCAGCTGCCATGGGACACCTGTGCTCCAGGACCTTGTTCTTCACGAGCCAGTTCCAATGGGCAGCCCGAGGCAAGGAATCCCCAGAATGGCAGCCAGCCCTGGTTGGCTGGATGTCCGTGAGTCCCCCACACCACACTCCTGCTGCACCAGGGTCATGGCAGGTGACAGATGAGGCTCACCTGGGCAGTAACAGGGCCCTGTCATTGGAGGTCTGGTCCAAGGTGTTCATCTGCTCTGTATTCCTGCAAATGTGAGCTCTATATCCTGCACAACTCATCTGAAAAATGGGCACAGCCCAGTGCTGAGCCTAGAGCATGTGGCTGTCCCTTGCATGCCATGTGATGGTGATGAAGACACAGATGACCCTGATCCCACCGACAGCTCTCGGGATGTCCCTGGCTCAGAATGTGGCTCCCATGTCAGGCCAGCCTTCACTCAGGCAGGAACAGAACGGCACCTGATTACCACAGAGAGCCTCCTCTCGGGCTCAGCACTGCTGACATGGGGGCAGGCCATTCTCTGGGCTGGGGAGCAACCTCCTTGGTCTCCAGGTGCTGGCAGCCAGCCAGCAGGACCCCTGAGAGGTCAAATGTGCCCTAGGAGGGCTTGGGGTGGGAGGCACATCGGGGCAGGGCAGGAGGAGGTGAGGGGTGGGGAGGCAGGTGCAACAAAGCAGCTCCTCCATCGTGCCATCTTGGGCAGGCGGCTGCCTCTGGAGCCTATATTCTTGCTGCCCGGGGAGGAGGGATGAGAGTTATGACCCAGAAGCTTCTCCTTCCAAGACCCCTGCAGGAGACCCCCGAAACCCAGCAGAGCATCAGACCCAGGAGAAGTCAGGGCACTTCCAAAGGTTCTTTCACAGGAGTGGAATGTAAGGTCAATTTGTTGCAGAACACATTGAAATCCATGCACAGAGGAATCTTCAAGGAGGTCATGGGAAGTGTGTATCACATGGAAACTATGTGTGGATTTCAACATGTTCTGCCCCCAACCAGACTCCTCTCTCTTCTTGTTGAGATTTATTTATTTAAAAGGCAGAATAACAGGAAGAGGGAGAAGAGACAGAGAGTTGTCTTCTACTGGTTCACTCCCCAAATGGCCAGGCTGGACCAGGCTAAGCGCAGTCCCTGCTGGCCACTGCCCAGGCCTGCCCTTCTCAGCATCCCAAGCCATTGTCCCCCTGGGTCCAGACCCAAAGCCACATACAGCTGGGAAAAAGGTCTCTAAGTCAAATGGCAGGAGGTAAGAGCTGGGGCAAGGCATGGCATATATACCCAACTCTTGGAAATATATTCAAATTAAGTGAAACCTACATATGAAAAAAGGATATGCAACTTATATTTACAGCAGCATAATCCACAATAGTGAAAACATGGAAACAACCCAAATGCCCATTGAAACAGGAATGGCTAAAGAAATTGTGGGTACAGCTACTCCGTGGAATATTACTTGGTTATTAAAAAGAAATTCTACCATTTGCAACAAAATGTCCCAGTTGAAGACCATTAGGCTCATTGAAATAAGCCAATCCCAAAACAACAGATACCATATGTTCTCTCTGAGATAACACAGGATTCATGCAAAATGCAAAACAAATAGATATTTAGGTGAACAAGTATATATGTGCATGTGTGTGTGTGTGTGTGTGCACGCGTGTGTGTATTCTCACGGCTGAATTGAATAATGGAGACTAGAATGCTGAGAAGTGAAGACAGCCTGCAGGAGGCATCTCTACTCCTGAGTAAAACGAGAACTCCCAGGTAAACAGCTAAATGTATATTGACAAATATACTTCAATACTACCTTTGCCTACACCCAAGCCCTGATACACATAAATAGCAAAATGCTAAGCATATAACTGTTACTAAAGGACTATACTACTGTAAATACAATGGGGAACAAGTGAGAAGGTAAAATAGGGAGGAAGAAAGGGGAGCGAAAGAGGGGACTCCCTATACTTACAAAACGCAATCATGGCAAATGATTTCACTGACCCTGGAGGGACAGCCTCTCTCAGGGCCAGCCAATGCCTAGACACAGCAAACAGTTTCAGCAAACTGGCCCATGCCAATCCAGATCCCCAGCCAGTCCTCAGGGGGACTCACATGCTGGGCCACTGTCCATCAGCAGCACTCAGGGGCACAGCCCTTCCTCCAACGCCCACTGAAATCCTGCAGGTGGGCCGCTGAGGCCTCAGGCCCCAAGGACTTTCCACAGCAGGTTCTTGTCCACCAGGCCGCCTCACCCAGGCCACCAGCTGTGCTGTGGCCCCTCAGGACACAGCACAGCCCTTCCTCCAGGGCCCACCAACAGCCTGCAGGTGGGCTACTGAAGCCTGGGGTACCCAGGACTTTGCACAGTAGGCGGTTCCTATCTGCTAGCCCGCCATGCTCTGGTGTCCTGGTGAGCACCAGCTTCAACATGGCCCCTCATGACACTGCATGCACATCCTTCCTCCAGCATTCATGTCCCCTAAGGGCGGTCGTGTCCGGACATGGCCTCAGCATCCCGAGAGGCAGAGGCTGTGGCATTCATGCTCCGGGTATTCACTCACCTTCCCATGGCTCAACAGGATGATCCGCACCAGCACCATGTTGATGTGGGCCCCCAAAGACTCATCGTGGTAGATTTCATTGACCTGAAAGACAAGCAGCTTGTGGTCAGCAGTACCCCCCGAGCACTGCCCTTCTGGGACCACCCCTTATATCTCCTTCCATACACCCCTCTCCTGCTTGCTGCCCTCGATGTCCCCAGAGTCACTCTCAGGCCCAGCCCCTGGAATTCTTCACCCGGAGCAAAAGCCTAGACAAGGAATCAATCCCTGTATTGGCTGTCTGAATTGCATCTTTCCTTCAAAACCTGGCAGCCCAGGTGGTGTGGCCCTACCCCCAGCAGACAACACTGCAATGCTACTATGGTGTCCCCACTTGGGTGGGGACAGAGCCTCTGCCAGGTCTCAGGGTCTCCTGAGTTACTAAGGACAGACATCCCAGGCAACACCATCACCCCTGGGTGTCTACGGTTGAGAGGGCTCCCAGAATCCAAATCCACCAACACTCACATTGCATATAAAATGTATGTGTTCTTTGCATGAAACCCACATACTTCATCTATTTTCTTTTTAAAGATTTATTTTTTTTTATTGGAAAGTCAGATATACAGACAGGAGGAGAGACAGAGAGGAAGATCTTCTGTCTGATGATTCACTCCCCAAGTGAGCGCAAAGGCCGATGCTATGCCAATCCGAAGCCAGGAGCCAGGAACTTCTTCCGGGTATCCCAAACAGGTGCAGTGTCCCAAGGCTTTGGGCCATCCTTGACTGCCTTCCCAGGACACAAGCAGAGAGCTGGATGGGAAGTGGAGCTGCCGGGATTAGAACTGGTGCCCATATGGGATCCCAGCTCATTCAAGGCTAGGACTTTAGCTGCTAGGCCACGCCGCCGGGACCCATCTATTTGTTTTAAAGATTTATTTATTTTTCTATGTGAGGCAGACTTAGAGAGAAGGAAAGACAGGGATCTCTCAACTGATGGTTGACTCCCTAAATGGCTGTAATGGCTGGAGCTGGGCTGGTCCACGCTGGCAGTCAGTAGCCCCTTATGGGTCTCCCAGGCAGGTGCAGGGGCAAAGGACTTGAACCATCCTCTGTTGCTTTCCCAGGTGCATTAACAGGAAGCTGGGTCAGAAGTGGAACAGCTAAACTGGAGTCCATACGGGATGCTGGCACTGCAGGCAGAGGCTTAACCTGACTTGCCATGGCACCAGTCCCCTCCTAAACTTTAAATCCAGTTCCAGAATGACTAGCAATACCTGCTACAATGGCCTGGGCAACCTGTAGGTAACTGCTGTGCTGTATTGTATCATCAAGGGAATGAGGACAAAGCAAAGGTCTGTACAAAATGTGCAGTTCAGAGGCAACTGTTCTGAACTCATTTTTTTTAGGGGCCAGTGCTGTGGCATAGTAAACCAAGCCTCTGCCTGTGGCACCGGCATCCTGTATTGACACCAGCTCCGCTTCCAATGCAGCTACCTGCTTATGGCCTGGGAAAGCAATAAAGGATGACCCAAGTCCGTGGGCCCCTGCATCCATATGGGAGACCCAGAAGACGCTCCTGCCTCCTAATCAGCTCAGCTCAGCTCTGGCCATTGCAGTCATGTAAAGAGTAAACCAGCAAATGGAATACCTCTCTCTGTCTGTCCTTCTTTCTATGTAATTCTGCTTTCCAAATAAAAATAAACTTTTAAAGAACTAAAATAAACTCATATTTCAAAAAGGATTCATTTTATCTATTTGAATGACAGAGTGACAGAGAGGAAAAAAAGAAAAAAAAAAAAGACGTCTCCATATACTGGTTTACACCCTAAATGGCCAAAGCCAGAAGCCTGGAACTTTTTTGGAACTCCCTATTGGGTGGCAGGAGTCCAGGCACTCAGGCTCTAAATGTCCCAGCTGCTCCACTTATGATCTAGCTTCCTGCTAATGGCTCCAGGAGAACCAACAGAGGATGACCCAAGTGCCTAGGCCCCAGCACCCATGGGGGTGGGTAGACCCAAAGAAAGCTCTTGGCTTCAGGCTAGCCCTGAGCTGGGTCTTGGGGACACTTGCGGGATAAACAGTGAAGAAAGAACAATCTCTCTCGCTCTCTCTCTCTCAGTTTGGAACTCTGGTTTTCCATCTTTGCTGAGTGGAACCCAAGCTGTGAGTGGTTCCAATGGAGCAGTGATGGCGTGGCAGCATTACTGAGGAGAAGGTGCAGGATGAGGGTGGGTGATTGGTAAGGATGGTGCTCGAGCCACAGCACCTAGGGGCCACTGTCATGGGGTCGTCTTTGCTATAGAGACCCCTAGATTTGCAAGAGGCTGGCAGCTTTGCTTTGGGCAGCTCTCCCAACGCGGGTCAGGTCTTGGGTCAGGCCAGGCTGGGCCAGTTCATAGCACCCACTAGGAGATGTGAGAACCACGATGGGGTACAGGACAGAATGAGTTGGGTCACAACACAAGCCAGTGCACATTCGTACCAGAACTAGGGGCAGGCCAGGTCAAGCCAGGCTACATGACAGGCCATGCCAGGGTGGCTGTAGCACCCACCACCATATGTAAGACCTCGGGTAGTGGAGGAATATCCCAGGAGGGGTACTGTAGGGGCTCCCCTGCTACACCAGTTTACAAAACTGCTGAGCAGGAGACCTAGGACATGGGGCTGACCAGACTTGGCGGGGTACAACACTTGTTGGCCTGCATTGAGCTGGGTTAGCAGGAGTCAGACTGGGTCAACTGGCTATATCCACTGGGGCATGCATGAACTAGAGTAAGTGCAGGCTGCTCAGGCTTTGCTGCAGCATCAGTTGGCATGCTGGGAATGGGAACAAATCCTGTGACTACACTACAGAACCACCTGGAAAGTATAAGATCTGGGACTGGAAGCAGGCCTAATTGGGACACTTGGATACCCTTCTATTGGGGTACACCTCGCACCAGTGAACATAAGAACCAGGGCTGAGGCAGGCCTTGCTGGACAGGTGGTTACACCCATCAGCATAAGTATGGGTGGGATATGGTACCGGTCAAGTGAACTAGGCTGCAGCTCGCACTCATGTATACAAAAGTCAAATGGGATGCGGGATAGACTAGACAGTCTGCTGCACATGCTGGCAAGCACAGGAACTAGGTTTGGGTGTGGGCCTGCTGGGCATTATTGGGGGTTGCTCTGACTAGGCTACAGTTCCCATTGATTTACATGAAGCACAAGCGTGTGGTGCACAGGGATGGGCTGGGCCACAGCATCCATTGATTTTTGTAAGAGATGGGGTGTGGACATAACTGACTCAGAAACTGCAACCACGGAGGGGTGGGAGGGAAGCGGTGCTGAGGTGGATGAACAACTGAGCCAGACTCCACACTGGCTGACACACAAGACTCGGGTCTGGGCTTACCACAGATAAGGTTTCTTTGGGGACTTCCTCCCCATACTCCCAGACTGGACCACTGGACTCAAAATACCAAGCACATGGAAGACCACAGCATCTGTGGTCTGACCGTGGAATGCATGTGTTAGAACTGGGGCCCCACACTTGCTAATGGCAGTGCAGTGGATGACATGCCTAGAAGCACACGATAGACATGACAGCTAACTGAAATCCTCAGAGGGACGTCAGGTACCATGGCAGAGGATGGAAGACAGAATAAATTGGACAACTAACCTGGCCAAGCTTTGACAGCAAGTATCCAGGCAAATTGAGTCTCTAAGGTGAACTATTTCAGCCAGTGGGCCCTGGAAGGATTTCCTCAACCTTGGCGCAATGAAGTCAACAACATGTCAGAAGTGTCAAAATCACGAGCAGTACCCTTGGAACATGCTCCAAATCAGGGACCCTGGGATGACATCAAGTGGCCGTCCTGCATTCCCAGGGTGCTGATGCAGTTGGGCTACTGGAAGTGGCCCTCCTCCCTTCCTTCCCATTTGACCCAGGTACAGGAAGAAAACAAAACAAGAAAAGAACAAAAGAAAGTGTGTGAGAGAGACAGTGAGAGAGAAAATGAGGGAAAGAAAGAAAGAAAAAAGTGTGAAAAAAAGAAACAAACAAGTATTTGGAAAAAATGGTCTCATCCACTTTCCCCTGTTCCTTTGTCCACACCACAATCAGCAGTCCACAGGTGTATACATCCTTCTCAACTATGTAAACATCAGCAAAATAAAATTAAAAAGGAAAGAACACACAGATCTAATGCATTGCTGGTGTTTCGAATGGATGAGTAAGGATTGGCAAGGATGTTGGAGGCTTAGGTTGGAGATGCATTCTCCAAAAGGTGGAAGATAATTAAGAAAGTATTAATAAGACTGGCATGGTAGCCTATTGGCTAAAGTCCTCGCCTTCAATGCACCAGGATCCTATATGGATGCCACTTCATATCCTTGCTGCTCCACTTCCCTTAAGCTCCCTGCAGTTGAAGATAGACAATTGTGGCCACCTGGGGAATGAACCAACAGATGGAAGATCTTTGTCCCTTCTTCTCTTTGTAAACTTGACTTTCCAATAAAAAGCAAACAGAAAATTTCTTTTTAAATTTGCTCTTTTTATTGTAATGTCAGATATACAGAGAAGAGAAGAGAAAGAGAAGATTTTCCATCCAATGATTCACTCCCCAGGTGACCACAACAACCGCCAGTGCTGTGCAAATCCAAAGCCAGGAACCAAGAACTTTCTCCAGGTCTCTTATGAGGGTGCAGGGTCCCAATGCTCTGGGCTGTACTCAACTGTTTTCCCAGGCCACCAGCAGGAAGCTGGATGAGAAGTGAGGCTGCTGGGATCAGAACCAGTGCCAATATGGGATCCCAGCATGTCCAAGGCAAGGACTTAACTGCCTTACCACTTCCTCTGGCCTAAAAATAAATAAATTAAAAAAAAAAAAAAGGCAAAAAATATACTCCAGGTAAATAGAAATTGAAAATGAGCAGGGATTAACCATGCTTATCATAAACAAAGTAAACTTTAAGACAAAAATGGTTAACGAGACCATGATCCTACACAATGATAATGAAATCAATTTCAAGGACAATATAACCACTGCAAACACATATACCCCTAATGCTAGAGCACCATTTGATAAATAGAAATTTAGTCGATCTAAAAGAAGACTTAAGATGTAATAATACCAGGTTAATTCAAACTCCACTTTCATCTATGAACAAATCAACAAGACAAAAAAGTCAACCAAAAAATAACAAACTCAATACACACAAGGACCAAGTGGAGCCTGCTCCTGTCAGCAGAGCCAGTAATTTGGACAGGGAGAGGGTCTGAGGATGAAGCACCAAGAGACCAGTCATGGTGGAAGTCTCTCCAAAGCCTCCCTTTTTCCTCCTTTCAGTATTCTTTCCCCCAAGTCCTTTAGCCAGACAACAGCATGCCAATGAGTCCCATTAGTCCAGGTGCTTTTAGCCACAAGCCCATTTCCTGTTACTGCTCAGCTTAACCAGTGCTAATTAACTCCTTCCCCACAACAGACCCAACACACTTGTACACTATTCCACCTCACACTTGTAGAATGCACATGCTTTTCATCAGCACATAGAACACTAAGACTGATTATACAGTAGGCCACAAAACAACTCTCAAAAACAATTTAAAAAGACTGGCTCCTATTTTGGGTCTGGCCAGGCTCAGCTTCTGCAGCAATTTGGAGAGTTAACAAGTAGATGGCATGGAAGATCTCTTCATCTTGGCCACACTCTCTGTCACTCTTTCTTTGAAATACATACAATTAATCATTTTTTAAAAAGTCACTTGAGGGCCCGGCGTGGTGGCGCAAGTGGTTAAGTCCTCACCTTGCACGCCCTGGATCCCATATGGGCGCCAGTTCTAATCCCGGCAGCCCCGCTTCCCTTCCAGCTCCCTGCCTGTGGCCTGGGAAAGCAGTCGAGGACGGCCCAAAGCTTTGGGACCCTGCACCCGCGTGGGAGACCCGGAAGAGGCTCCTGGCTTCGGCCGTTGCAGTCACTTGGGGAGTGAATCATCGGACGGAAGATCTTCCTCTCTGTCTCTCCTCTCTGTATATCCGCCTTTCCAATAAAAAATAATAAAAATAAATCTTAAAAAAAAAAGTCACTTGAATGAGACACAAAAGAGAAAACAACGGTTGCTACAGCAATAGAATCAGTCGGAACTATTTTGAACATATACCCACAAATCAGGAAATTTGAAAGAAACTGATAAATCTACAGGAACATGTAATTTACCAAAATTGAGTCACAAACACAAAACACTTGAACAAATAACTGGTAATGCAATAGCTCAGGACCAAATGCCTTCACTAATGACTTCTCCCAAACCTCCAAGAAACAGCTAATACCAGTTCTTGTCAAACTGTTTTGAATTACTCCAGTAGTATTTTGATAGGCCAACAGGCTCTTTCTTGGCTGAGAAAGAACTTGATGAGAACAATCCCAGTCACAGTAGCTGCAGAAATACACACAGGGGCAGGAGCAGTGAAGCAGGCTGATCCTCTGCTGCAGCACTGGCATCCCATATGGGCACTGGCTCATGTCCTGGCTGCTTCACTTCCCAACCCAGAGACTGGGAAAGCAGTGGAGAATGGCCCAAGTCCTTGGGAACCTGCACCCATGTGGGAGACGAGGAAGTTCCTAGCTCCCAGCTTCACAATGGCCCAGCTCTGCCCACTGCAGCCATTTGGAATGGAAATTCTATGTAACTCTGCGTTTCCAAGTAAAAATAATTTCTTTCAAAAATACATGCAAAAAATACATACATAGCATACACACCCCGGCACAAATTTAAGGAGGAAAAGAGATTTGCAATGAAAAGTAAGAAAACAGTGAAGAAAAACCTGAAGATACCCAACAACAAAATGAAAACAATGCGAAAGGAAGGAAGGAAGGAAGGAAGGAAGGGAGGGAGGGAGGGAGGGAGGGAGGGAGGGAGGGAGGGAGGGAAGGAAGGAAGGAAGGAAGGAAGGAAGGAAGAAAGAAAAAGAGAAAGAAAGAAGAAAACGCATGTATCATCACTCTGTCCCAGGGTCTGCACTGGCAGCAAGTCTGACTCAAGAGATGAAGCCAGCAAGCAAACAGTCACTCTGATGTTGGAAGGAGGTCACTATGTTAGTCACCATCTTAAGCCCTAGCTCCCTAAATCACATTTTTTTTAAAATGATGAAGTTACACAGTTGATTGGGGTGGGAAGGATTGAGGGTTAGGGGAAAGTGGGTGAGATCATTGTTTGCAAGTTTCCTTTTCTTCCTCTTGTCTCTGGGGGCAAGGGAGGAGATGAGAAGAGAAGCTGCACTCAGCCTTCCAACTGCCTCAGTACCTGGGGTGGGGAATGGCCACCCAATATCATACCAGGCTCCCAATGGGAAGCATGCTCTGCTGGTTCTGCTCAAGTGGTTTCAATAGTTTTGAAATGCTGTCAGTTTTGTTGCTTCAAGGATGAGGAAATCCATCCAAGGACCACTGGCTGACACAGTCCACCTGAGAGTTTCCATTCGCCCAGATATATGCTGTCAACACTTGGCTGGGCTAGTTGTCCAGTTTGCTTTACCCTCCTTCCTCTGCTGTGATAGCAGATGTCCACTGCACTTCCCAGTGGACTGTCATATCCTCCATGTGTATCTGGGTATGCCATCCACTACGCTGCCTTAGCTATTGTGGAGGCCCACTTCTGATACTTGCACTCCACAGTCAGTCCACTGGTCCTAGGATTCAACACACGGTTGGAATTCTGAGTGCAGTGGTTCAGTTGGGTGAATCCCACAGAGACTTCATCTCTGCCGAACCCAGACCTGACTCTGTGTGTGCTTGCCAGTACAGGGTCTGGCTTAGTCTGACAACACATCAGGCTGTGCTAGGTCAGTTCTGTGTCAAGCCCACCTCTTACACAAACGAATGGATGCTTCATCCAGCCCAACACAGCCCACTACACATTTGGTCCTCAAACATACCAGCAGGAACTGTAGCATAGTCACAGTGACCCCACAAAATCACCATCAATGTACTTCTCACTATGTGCAACAGACTGCTCCTGTCTGACACACATCCCATTCAACTCTTGTATACATCAATGGCGTTTTAGCCTAGTTCAACCCAACAAACACCGTTATCAGCCCACACTCATCCCAGTAGATGCCACTGCTTGGCCAGACAGTCCCACCCGCAGCCCTGCTTCTCATGCTTACCTGTGGGAGTTGCAGCCCATTAGAGAGGAGCCCACAGTTTCCCCACTGGGAGATCTTGCACTCTCCTGGTGGTTCTGCAGTCTAGCTTGACAGGAGTTGCCCCTAGTCCCAGCATTTGCCAGCCCTGACGCTGTGGCAAAGCCCGGGCAGCCTGCACTTCTTCTGGCTCATGCATGCACAGTGTTTATAGTCACCCGGCCTTGCTGCCTTTCCCAGCTCACATGCAGCCCTATGGGTATTGGTCTGGCCTGGTCTGCCCTCAGTCCCAGTTCTCACTCCCACTAGTAGGAACTCCTGCTGCCACCCTATCACGCTAACCCACCTCTCCCTGGTCTCACATGTACTGGCGGGTGCTGCAGCCTGGTATGGCATGGTCTGCCTCACCTTGGCATGTGTCAGCTGATGCTGCAGCCTGGCCTGGCATGTTGTGTGCCTAATTCCAGCTCATGCTGGTGGGAACTGCAGCCTAGCCTAGCCTAGCCAGCCCTCAGTCACAACCCTAAATGTGAACTGGCTGCTGTTACAGCCCGACTAGGCCTGTCCTGCACCCTGTCCTGGTTCTCAGGACAGATCTGCCAGTGGCTGCCAAGAACTGGTC